GCCGTGTCACTGGGGGGAACAGAGCTGAGCCCTTCCAGCAGCTTGAGACAGGAGCAGCTTCATCCAGGCCCTGTCTTGAGGCATCCACTGTCTATTTTGCTTTGTAGAAGCATCCTGGGAGGTCAGCCACACTAGAACAACCCACATGGTACTGAACCGCAAAGTTGTGAAAATCATTTGACATTCTTGATCATTAGAAAATGGTATTTTGAAACAAAACCGTTTTTCACATATTTCCTAAGTTGATCTGAAGTTTTGGAAGAATCAGCTTAAACTTTACATGGCTACAGTCGCATCATCGGGTTTTGTCCATCATCTTTTTTTGCATACGCACAACTTCACAGCTGTGAACATTTCTCTTAGAAAGCTGCTGTGATACTTTATAGTACTACAACAAGCACATGAATTTAAAAGCATTTATGCCCCCATACACTGGGGTGGGAAGGGCTATAGTACTTCTGTGAAGGTACAAATAGGCTGAATGCTACTCAAATAGGAATGTTATACTGGAATTTTTGAACACTCAATTGAAATCAATTTAGCTTTATTCTGAATCAAAATTAAGCATTCATAAAATTCCCATTAAAAGTCCAATGCTTTGCTTTTCAAAAGTGCAAAAACCAAATTCATAAATGAAACATTTCACCACATTTCACTAGAAGTACATATTATTGCAACTTGAATTGGTAAATATTGCGAGTAACAATACCATTTAAAATATTACAACCCACATATTTTTGAAACTGAAGTTTTAATTTCAAACTGAGAGCGCTAGTATTTTTCAAAGACAGGATGGCAAGCATTTTTGAAAAATATCTTTGACCACCTCTGCTGTTGAGCACCATGGCAGACCTTAACGCTGAATGCGAACAAAGCAGCCACCTGCCAGTTCTGGTCTCCATAAAAAGCCCAGGGAAAGACATCGATTTATGTTAAAGGTAATGCGGAATTCAGAGTCAGTGCTGGGACTACAAAACCATAAACAGTGAGCCTACAGTATTTACACAGCTGTGAGTTCAGGTCCAACTTTTTATAAAAACTTAGTGATTTTAGACAAAGAGAACACTGATGGGATCTGGCTGTCATCCTGAGACAAGTATATCATCATCTAAGATCTCCTTCAAATGGAGACTATCAAAAGTAAAAATATTGCATTTTTATGCTGTGAATAGAAGGGAAACAAAATGCTTGACTGCCAGATAGTTTTCTCCTTCCTGTGAACAACCACAGACAAAAAATTGGATCATATTGAAAAATTGTTACAGTTCTACAAATTGAACCATGTCAGTACTTCTGTGCCCTGCACACTATGACTTTTGCAGTTTCTGAATAATACACATTGAAGAAACTGCATTAACCCAAGATAACGGAACAGCTCTCTCAAGCAAGATGTGGTTTCAGCCATTTTAGCTCAAAGGGCATAAAAGCTTTATCTCAACGATGCAGGTTAACTCTTCTGCTCACACTGGGCGTGTTCACCCATGCAGAACTTCCAAGCAGGTCCCAGGACACGTAACAGGAGGTTTTAAACGAGACGTGCACAACAGCGGGAAGCCACACACCTGTTTAAGCCATAGCTTAGTACAACAGGACTTTGAAACACGGGGAAGCTAAGTAAGGCAAGGTACGCTCTTGCGTTAAGTCGAGAGAACTTTCCAAGAGCAGTTGAATGTGGACCCCTTGCTGCCCAAACAGGGAATACCAAGGAGGGGAAACTTCTGAACCAAGACTGGTGTTCAGGTGGTGTTTTGCACTTCCTTCACTGAAATTATGTTTTCCTACTTTACATGAGACACAAAAGCAGAGCTTCTATTAGCATACACTTACACATTCTATCTCATTTCTCTCTGCAAGTGCCAAAGATGCCCTAACAGTTTTCCTCAGGTAAGAGCTCACCACCAAATTAAAATGAACCAAAGATGACAAGTCAGTGGAATGTATTTTTTCGTTCCAGCACAAAACCACGTAACTGTTTAGGCCCATTTTCTTTTTATTAATAATATAAGGTTCTATAATCTCTTAACATTACAACTGAAATTTTACAGTTAATCTCACACTAAAATGACAAACACTGTTTGGCAGAAAGTTAAATTACAACCTTGATAAATATAGATTTCCAAGATTGAGAAGCAATTTGTTTTCTGGATTTCAGTGCTAATGTATCCCTGCCTTTGAAATTGGTTTCAGTTAATTAACATTGTTACGGAAGAACCATTTGGCCTGGCCTCTGTTCACAGCTATAAGGCAAAGATGACACCTCTAACTCAACCAGTATATTGTAAGTCAAGTCAAGAAGAGACACGTTTTTCTTTGTAAGATTCAGATTCTAGATCAATTTCTAACGGATTTTCTTTTTACCCCTCCAAACTTTTATCAAAGCCTCTCTAACGTAAATACATTTTGCAGTCAAGCCATACTCACTCTTCGAAGAGAGCAGGAGCTGTGCAATTGGAAGTCATGACAAGCTTAATTAAAACTGCTTGTAACTTACACACAGCCAAAAGAGTTAAGCAAATTAAAAAGTAAGGTGTTATGCCAAGCTACACTGTCTGTGAACAGGCTGTGGCTATGGGAAGTAAAGTCTTTAGGAAGAAAGTAGAGAACACAAAAGGAAGAGTGGTGGAGGACTTTAGTATCAGAGAAGGGAAGCTTTCTTTTAAATGGGTAAGCATCTGTGTTTACCTAGGTCTCCTGAACTTGTGTTACACTTTATTTTCATTAGGAATTTAAATGTGAAATTAAAGACAGTCAGTGGTACATGCTTTACAACTGCAGTTTCACTAAGCCCTGACCAGTTCCTAACACAGAAAAGTGTTTAGGAAGACACAATAGGGTGGCCATTAGAAAAAAATATCCATTACATTTGTAGTTAATCTCTTCTTCAGAGCTATCCAGCGACATTGCTTTGGGACCCTTACAGCCTGTTATTTCACCTTCCCACAGGACAACTGATGTGCAGTAAAAATCTTTACTGCATTTTAAATCACTTCAGAAACCAGTGGCTGTTTAGAGGTTAGAGAGTATAAGGAGCTTTTGCCTGTGTAATTTCAATACAAAAATGGGTTGATGAAACCATAGTCAGAAAACGAAGAATTGGGATGTTGCAGAGTTGTGAGGCGCTTCAACTCAAAATCTTAAGACTGCTTGCTTCAGTTCTGCTTGTCCTGTCACTCAAAAAAAAAGGCTTCACATGCTTTCCTTCAAAACTGGTTCTTTACAGTTAGACATACGCGTCCACTGAGGCACACGAACACCCTTCATAGTCACCAACCCCTCAAAGGGTCTCTATTTCAGAGTGTTACAAGTCATCGGCCAGATGCCACCTGTGGCCACGTTGTCACCACCGTGCAGCACGCGAGAGGAGGGAGGCCCCTACATGAACATGTGCAGATTAAGCCTGCAGAGACACCATCATGTACTTAAGGAACAATTAACCAGAGCACAAAGACTCAGTTTCCTCAAAACAGACTGCACCTATTGTCTTGGAGAACTCTAGGGCCCAAAACCCAAAAATACAAAAGAGTAGATTTTTATATTGAAATACTGGGAAACAAAGACCATTCAAAATAAATGGAGCTGCATTGCAAACATCACATTAACACTGCTTTATGACCTGCAGGTCATAAAAAGTTTTCTGTAAATACCTGACAGCATGCATTTTAAAGTGATGTGCTGAGTGTTCATGTTGTTTGAACATTTTAATTACAGGATTGAAATTCATCTTTAAACAAGTTCCAAGTTGCCCGATATGCAATATTTTTCAAGCATTTTATACTTGTGGTGGATTACCAAAACTAAGAGCTAATTAGACAGTATTCTAAAATCATTTAAAAACAAAAATGCAATTTTACCTTTTTCTCCTCATTAAGGGCACTACCAATACAAAAGGTGTCCAAACTGACACTACAGAGCTGTGAAGCAGCTGGCTAGAGAGACAGTGTCCTCAAAGGGTAGTCTGTATTTTTTCTATCCTATGTGATCATACACATTATCAAAAAGTTGGATAACTTGCTTTAAGAAAAGAACCCACCTTAAAAATGGATCATGAGTATTGACAAATACTTTAAGTTTTTTTACTGATTAAGATTCAAGTTTCAATGTAAAAATGCTTACTGTCATACAATACCGATCAAGAAAATATTTTCTTAAAGTTCAATGGATAATTAAAATTGTGTCTACCAGTGAAGCAAATTATTCATAAAGGACATAGGAAACTGTACAAAACTAAAACTGGACATCTCAATTTCAGGATGACAGTATGTTGTCCACTTAAGTGTTTTATTAAACTGTTAAGACTGTTTCAAAAGACAGTGCTGGGTAGTTTCATCTGAAAAGCCAAAACATTTTTTTTTTACTGAAAAAACCCATATTTTGCATTTCTGCAAAACAAAACAGGAGCAAAAACCGTACACACTAGGACTGAAGTACAGATGAACGTAAAGTCTTGTTACAAACTTGTTGTCAACATACAGTGAGAAATGTCCATTGTACAAAACTCAGAGGGACTGGCCTACGACTTAAGATGATCCCAGCAATGCAAATACAACTCCAAACAGCTCAATTGCGTGAGATTTTCCCAAGAGTACTACGGTGGGAGACTACTGAGTTTTTAAGATGCAGTTTGACTTGCATCATCTCTTTTGAGAACATTCATACTTTTTTGAGCCCACATTTGCATTTTAAGTATTTGCTGGTTACAAGTCTGGTACATACTTAATCCTTTGGTACAGTGAAGTACTCCTCGGTGTTCTCTCCTCTGTCTCTGAGCAGCTTTCCTTTAGCAAGAGGCTGGGTTGTGAGCAGCTGCTTCTGTAGAAAACACTGTTGTCAGTCTTTGTTCTCCTTGCAGGGGATGTTTTAGTAAGAAACATCTGGCAGTATCCAGCATTGAAAATACTGTCAGCTGTGTTGCCTAACCAAACCTGGAACCCCAAATTTGCATTTCCTGATGAGTAATAAACAACCTACTGGGCACAAAGTGTAAGAGTTTAAGAGCATGGTAAGTAAAAATCCATAAACATTATCTGTGATGTTTACGCTTTATTGGGGGGAGGAGGAAGGAAGTGGCAAAAAAAAAAAAAAAAAAAAATCAATGTAAGTTACTAGGCTTTTAAAGTTTAGTCTATGTTATATTTGATTACTGGGATATCAATACAATGAAAGTGGAGGAATTTCAACAGTAATTTTGAAGAAGTTTTAGTACATCATGATGTGCGAGGCTTTATAAAAGATTTTTGTTTCCAAAGATGTTATTGGGGTCCACATATTCCTTAACAGATCTCAGCATTCCCAGGCCAACATCAGAGATGCTTTCCTTCATCCAGCGCTTCCGCAATTTGCCTACTGGAAAAACAAAAACAAAACGTTTCAATATATGGCAGGATTCTAGGAGCCAATCAATCTTGCGACCATGAATGAATAAACACTGTGTGATAAATGCTTTTATTCAAAAATGAGAAATGTTTTGCTTTATTTGATTTATTGAGCCCACCAGACTATCAAGCTCATTAAGCTCAGCATACTCCCAGAGGAAGACTGTGTTCCACACTGTCTACTTTCTTTAGAAACTATGAAATTTAGATGAAGCTTAGGCTGAGATCACATGTTCTGTTAAAATAGGGAATTGGTAGTAAGTTTTTAAAAGCCACCAAACTGATTTTAAGTAGGAAACTGTGGAGGAGATTACTAAAAAGCAGAACCCCACACCTCTCGATTGCTTTAAAATGAAAACATAACTCAATCAAACCGACTTAAAACTAGGTTTTAAGCCTTCTCCTCGGAAAACAAATTTTTTGTTATTTATACCAATACTGTTTTAAAACAACAAAATATCTTATTTCCTTCAAAAACTTTTACACAGGCTGGTAATTGTTCACACCATTACACATGAGCTTAGTTTCCCATGTAAAAATAGATATTCACAACATACACCAAATACAGAGCAAAGCTGAAACACCAGACATTTAAGAACTCGTTTCAGTAAAGTCTCACAATAGTCTTGTTAAATGGCCAAGTGTTCACACACTAATTAACTAAGTCATCAACTCTGATTTAACAGATCATTCAAAATAAAGGAATTTTTTTTCCCCCCATTAAACAGACTCTAGCATTTAACTTGTCAGACAGAAACACAATCCATTTGTCAGTATGATGTGATATAGTATAGGTTTGAGACAGATGTTTTAGGAGTATCTGAAGCTAAATTCAAGCCATCTTTTGTGCCCTGTTCTCAGGGTAACCATCAAACTGTCATCAGAATAATAAATTACAGGGACACCTCTGGAGAACAGAGTATATTTGTTTATACCTTAAGGAATATGAGCTAGTCACAATGCCAACTGAAAAAGCAAATAATGTGAGGAAGAATGAAATTTGCAGCTTGCTAGAAAACAACTATTAGCAGCATGCATGTCAAGATCAAAGATCATAACTGAAGGACAAAAGAATTTGTCCTGTGGTAGGAACTGTGGTTGTATTTTGCAGCCCAGCTCAGGAAAAATTCCCCATCTGTAAATACGCCATCACTATGAATTGACTGTCTGAGCAAGCTGATGTAGTTGAAATTTGTCTGGAGAAACTTTCATATTGCTGCCACAAAAAAAAATAAAAATCATGGATGAGGCTTGACCATCACCTCAAGTGACTCACACTGGCTCTCACACAAGCAGCTGAAGAAGAGTCATTACTATTCTCAACTGTTATCTGTAATATACTTTCAGCGAACGTGTCCTGTGGTTATGGATGTAATTGTCCTGAAAAGACTGCGAACAACTGCTCCAGCAAGATGGAGCACATTAGAATCACAGCAGGATGCCCAACAGCTAGCATGCCTGCCTCTTGTACACCTCCAGTAATAATGCAATTCCACAAGGAACTGAACTACTGTCTGAGCAGCATCAAACAGTTGCTGCATATTTAATGAAGTCGCTCGCCAAGTGCTAGAAAACAGAAGGTGCTTGGAGTGCATCATTAGTTCTGTCAAAGTGATAATTTACACATCTATCTTGTCAAATTTTCTATGGTTTATACTTTTGCAATAATAAATCTAACATACATTTGATTAGTGAACTGGAAAGAAAAGAAAGCTGTACTACAGTTACCAGCAGTCCTTCACAAACGTACTCAGTGAAGATATTTTAACCCCTTGGTAACAGGAGGTTGAGCCTCTGTTCCTACTGTTTATGTCAATAAGATATATGTGGATTTTACAGCTACTCAAGTTTTCATATTAGAATTAAAAAGCACTGAAGCAATCCCACTCTTCAAATTCCAAGCTGGGGCATCTAATTAAATGGCAAATAGACCAAGTGAAGAAAAACCCCGTGCAGATGAGAGCAATGCTTAGAAAAGCAATGTTTGTATTTGTTTCACTTCAGGTTAGTGCTGCCCTGTAAGTATTCCATTCCTTCTCCCACAACAATTTAACCAGCTTCACGGATGACAGGGAAGGAGGAAGAAAAAGCCATAATAGTAAAAGATGTAATTGGTTTTATGTTTGTGGTAACAAGTGGCAACGTTGCTTAACTCCACTCTAAGCCCAGCCAGAGAACAGCTTTGGGCCTCAAGAAGCCTTAACTTCCTCAAGAATAAAAGGTCTCAGTTAAGCCTGATCTTACCATGGGCTAGAGAAGACCACTTTTCCATGTCTAGCCTAGAGAGAGCAGACCTTTTTGGTTTAGGCCTAGATGACACCATTTATCTAGAACTGACATGAGACAGTGCACAGAACCAGATTTTATCCAAGCATCTGCCATTTATGGGCTCTCAGCTCAGTATATTTCTCTCAATTAAAACATGAGATCAAATTCACTTGATTCTATATGCTACATCGTAACATTATTAACAAAGTTCTCAAATCAGGACAGCAGCTTAACAAGTCACTACTTGTCAACTCAGCGACACACACCATTAGACACACAATACTTGTTGCCCCAGCTGGAAACAAATATAGCCCTTCCTTCTTGCATCTTCTTCCTCTGAAGTTGCCTAATCTTGCATTTTAATTATCCAAGATGAAGTGTGGTAGATTAAGTTTTACAAGTGGCAAGTGCCTGTTCCCACAGTCCAATGCTTTTAAAATACTCACGGCTAGAGAGCCAGTTATTTTCAGTCTGAAGCCCAGCCTCCTACGAAGACCCCAGCAGGACAGTCTACTGCACACAAGTACTTCAGACCAGAAAGCCAAGAAGCTTGCTCAGTAGCAACAGTCCAACATCAATTTTATTTTGCAGTATTTTGAAGTTTTATCATTATAGTCAATGTATGGAAGAAACACGTGAGCTAAGCAAATTTTCTCCAGTTCCGATACAAGCTCTAGATGAAAGTATGGTCAGCCTCCAGACCCTAACTTAAAGGTAAGAAGATACTTTTCCCAAGTAGAGGAGAAAATGTGTTCAACTCCCTCCATAAAGGAATTTTAAATTCCAGGTTTTGTTTTGGAGGGGTTACTTACTGACGTGTATAGCTTAAGCCACAGCTTCTTAACGATACCAAAGAACTGCAACATTCAGTACACAACTGAATAAAAACAAGGTGTGGGGTTTTCTTCAGGTTTGTTGGGCATTTTGACTATTTTGTTTGTTTGGTTGTTCCGGGTTTTTTTAGGGTTAGGGTTGCTGCATTGTTTATTTTTTTTCCTGTGTGTTTGTTGGGTTTGGTTTTAGTTTTCCTATATAAACTGCCAGGAAACTGATACTATACCTAAACATGTGGAACCTTGGCTACCTGGTTAACCTTTACTCTTGTCAGTCTGTCCAGAAAGGGAAGAAAATGAGTTCCATCATGTTAAGTGGCTAATTGGGGGTATTTTCCTCAAGCCCACAAGCTGGTAATTGTTACCTTAAGCAACCAGTATTAGTTAGAATATCCTCTGAAATGAAAACAATCTGTAATTCATTTTTACACGGTTCCTTAGTTTTACGTGGGTGCTTAGCTTGGTAACACAGAAGGGATCAGGCCCAAATTCACTCAGCTTCCTTCTGAGGCTGTACCCCAAAAAAGGTTATAGTTGTATTTATACACAAGTTGTACCTATTGATACTTCTTCAGCATGTTATTTTATGTATAGCAAAAAAAAAAAAAAGCATGTATTTTATGAAACAGGAATTCAAGAATGCAAAGTGCATCATATGGGTGGCTTTAGGGCTTGCCCTAAATTATTAGAAGAATCTTTTATCTAAATTTAAACTTGTACCTAGAGGAAATTGTCATTCCTAATGTGGCTTTTTAAATGCTATGTCTCTAGAAGCTATCTGTGGCTTCAGGAGCCCTTATACGACTCTCAGATCTAGACACTCAGTGGCCAGAAGAGCGGAAGAATCAAAGCTCTGTTCACAGATGTTAACTGTCCAAGTGTCAGACATAGTCAATTGTGTTATCACCCTGCCTTGAAACTGTATAATCTCATGTAGAAAATTAAGACAAGGAATGCTACAACTAGGATATCTAATTTCTAAATACCTCTCAAAAGCTTTTATTAAGTCACAGATTATGTCACAGCATTAGGTAAAAGGGACAGAAGGCCTAAGAAAACCAAGTCCCACATTAAATAGTACCTGAAAAACACTACGAAGCTTTTCTCAGCAGTTTATTCAGAAAAAATTTAGCGATAAACAGATCTACCACATTTAGACAAAACTGCCAGCATCAAAAAATAAAAATAATAATAATAAAAAAACCTTATAAGCTCCTCTACAAGGATCAATTTCTGATGGACTGCAGAATGGCTGAACTCACCCTGGGTAAGAAATGCTTCTCATCAGCTACGTATTTTGGCTGTATTTTTACAGCAACACATACACCTTGGTTTTACATAATCCAGAAACATTATGAAGTGTTAAATACTAACACTAAAGTAGGAAATCATTCCTGACACCAATTAAATTTAAATACTTGGAACTCAAGAGTGAGATGGAGTTCAAAAAGAAAAGACTATTTCTTTAAAAGGACAAAAGTAATTTAAGTATCACAGTATCACAGATATAGCATCCAGATTAAAAAAACCCACACCAAACCCCCAAAAAGCGCCAGATATTCTACTCCCAAATACAAGTAATTGTTGCACTGTTAGCTTGGAGGGAGAGGAGGAGAGATAGAGACTAAAGCAGAATCCAAAGTAAAGTCTTTCTGAAGTTACTCTTCAAAAAAGTATCATGATTTCAGTTGTCACTGTAGCTTGTAGCTATATGTCTACCTGCAGTTAGCACCCCCCAGGTGTAATTTAGAGCTTTACACATCTCAAACTGTCATATATGACCACTTCTTCCCTCAAAGAGAGTATGAAGAGTGACTTAAGTATGTGCTGTATTTCCTATAGCCTCAAGTCCCAGACTACATCTGTTTTCTTTGATACACAAAACCAGAGTTAAAATAGCCCCATTTATCACAGTGTGATTGTAGGCAGACAAACAAGCCTGTCTGTTTCCAGATAGTGAAAACAACTGTTATTAATCATAATTACAAGACAGATACTAAATGAAATTGCACCAGTATTTTCTTTCAGCTCCCACAATAGACCAGTCTTAGTGGCGAGTTACATGGCTTGAAGGTCAGTAGGTAACACTGATACTATTAGACTAATTCTCAGCAGCACATCTACTACTATCTACTAAGCACCGGAAGAAATGAATATCACACACAACGAACTGCCAGACAAAAAGAGTCAAAGTAGAAAATTTTATCAGTGTAAGAGGCAGTCATGCATACAACAGGAGCGTAAGTCTAACAGAAACCAAGTTTTCCATATCTGTGTAGTCAGAAAGTTCAAGTGTGCAAGGGATTGAAAAATGCTCCTTAATTTTTTGTCTTGTTCAACATATGCTGTAAGCAAGGTTTCATCTGGTGAAGACAAATACATCCAAACATGTGACAAGCTCCAGCTGCATGCGAGTTAATGGATGAAATGCCAGTGACAGTAAAATGCAGCTGCCACAGCAGGGGAGAGCACCGGAGTACATCAAGGGGGCAGCTCCACACCCCATGTGTGAGACCCGACCGGTCCACTATACCACCCTACTTAAGATTTAATCAGAGGGCAGTAGGAGCATACGGAACAAAAAGTACTGAAACTGTTTTCACATGCATTATTAAGACCTACATGTCTTTCAATATACTGATATTGCTGAAACCGAGTCCACTGAAGTTTCTATCACAAAGCTAGATGCCTGAGAACAGTCCTAGCTAAAAAGGAAGTCACCAACATGTTTTAAAGCACAGCTCTGCCCTTCAATTTTCCACACTGAGTTTTCTTAGAATTACAATTTTTTTCTATCTAGTTTGAAACCATTAGACTACCTCTTTGCTTTTATTTCTGTGGCCAGACAACATCACAAGAGAGCAGAGAGAAGAAATGCAGTAAGTTAACCACTTTTCAGAAGCGCACAAATCAAATCGACTTCACAACAAGTCTTCTGGCCATCTGATTTTACAGCATTATACACGACACATGCAATCAAATTAATCAAGTCAAATCTGAATATGTGAGAAAAGCATAAGTTAAGCCTCGGGTATATGAAGCATCACTTATACATGACATCAGTTCTCAAATATTAAAGCAAAAAATAGCTTGCAAAGGAAGCTAGTTAACTCGGGACAAGTAATTTCCAAACTCCAAAGAGAGGAAAATGAATAAGCAAGTTAGCAGAGAGAAACTAGCAATATCAATACTTACATAACATCCATTATGCAAAAAACAGTAGACTGGAACATAGCCTAATTTAAAGTCACCAGCTCTTTTGTGCAGACACATTCACTATGAGCTCTGGAACTAGTGTTAAAGGCATTCACCTGGCCACAAGGGGCATTAATCAGTCTTAAAACTGGGAATTTGGGTTCTTTGTTCATTTGAACTGAATATACCTCTGAACAAAGTTCAGGAAGAAGTTGCTTAAGACAAACCGATCAACTACATTTTCAGGTTCTCAGGCTCCCTACCAAAGGTCTGAAGCTGGTGCTTGTAAATGCACCACACCGTGTGACTTGACATTGAGCAAACCAGGTCCAGGGACACTTCCCCCAAAAGTCTGGCAAAGGAGTGAAAGCTTTTAGAAAGAATGCCAGGAGATTCCACTCCCCTCAGTAATTTCAGTTATGCCTGTGAAATATTTTTCAAACTTCTATTAAAAACTATTTTATATACTCGTGAATATTTCGCAGCAGAGACTCATATTTGACTGAGAATGTTACCTCCATGGTGATGTGACAGACTTCCTCCATTGGCAAGTATTTCTTCTCTAGCAGCCCTCTAAATCGGAAAGACGAGGTATCAATTTATCAGCAAATGTACAAGATTTTTGGTTTTAGTTGAAATGCTTGTTATCATACTCATTTACACAGGTGTAGGAAAAATTTCAGAAGTAATTAGGGTACACAATACAGGCAAACATTTCAGTTCAAGTCTGCAGGTAAAGGTAAGTGGGCATTTTTCCAAATAAACGTTATCAAAGCCAAGACATTTCAAATGGCATCTGTTACAACAAATTTATTATTCCACAATGGAATATTCTAGGTCACTACTCCCTTGCTGAAAATAAATTGATCTAGTGGCTGGGATGCTCATGTGTCTACTGAAAAAGAAATCACAATAAAGAAGCTTGAAAACAAGCTTCCCAGAGTGATTAAAGATCCTTATTCAGACTGGAGTCTAGATTCAGGTCTCCAGGATTGTGGTTGAAGAAGTGAAGGACTTTACAGCTGACAACCTTTCACAGGTGAAGTTTCTGATGGAAAGCAAAATTTAGATTTTTATGTTAAGAAATATGAGACGTTCTGGAATCTTCTTTCCCATCCAGCTCTGGTTATAAATAGTTAGACAGCTTAGGTGGTATAACAAAGAAAGTTTTCCTAAAAATAAGCATTAAATGTCTTTTCAAAAAAAGGGTACTGCTTTTAGGAATAACGTATATAACCATACCTATGCAGTTAGAGATTTTTTCAGTCTGCCACAGAGTGCATATACTTGGTTGGCAAACTCACTTTGTTAGGTTAAATTTAGTCACCTACAATGGAAGACATGCATCCAGGTGATCACACTGTTAACTAAATCGAGTAAATGGTAATATCTAAGTATCAATAGTTTTATTAAATAAGCACTCAAGTATTACATTCTCCAATATCCTAGATTCAACAGCATGGAAATGCCAGAACTTGTAGATAAAACTGCATCTGCTTGCCAAGTTCAGAAGAAATGTCTAAAGAACAAGCATGAGAAGAATGAAATCCTAGTTACAGACTATTTCTCCGCAGTCCTATTAGAAATCTTCTGGTGCTGAAGTCTGATCATATGAACCAAAAGTTAGGATGAAAAGCAGTTTGGCCATAGTCCTATGTCTAAACATTACACCTTCAAGGTAACAAGGGTATTAGTTTCTCCTAACTAGGTTAAGTACAGTGTTTCACCAGCCGAAGTGTCAAAGCAGAGTTATTCCAGAAGGTTTTGGTCAATGTTGAAGCAGCTTACAGCTGCTCTGACACAGTAGACTTAGACCAGCACTCATCTAGGCCTAAACAGAAATAACCACAGCAGTTAATTCTCTGACACAGCACAAGCAAAACCCCCAGGTTCATTATTCTCTACATGTAGCACTACTAAAGTATAATCTTGACAGTTTGGCCATGTATTTTAAAGACTAATCAAGTAACACGTGACAGAAGTAGCTTTGTGAAGCATAAACCTTTTGTTCTGCAAACAATAAAAAAATAAGAAAGTCTTGCTTTCCCATGGATTTGGTTGATAGTTTCTGCCATCCAAGAACAAATTCCAGTTCAAGCTTCCCTAATGTAAGTATTCATTTAATGATGAACAAAATAGTCACCTGGCACGCTTTCCTCTACTTGGTGCACTACCAGTGTGCACCTCTTCCCCTAGCTGTTAATGATCAAAGCTTTACAAACAGACTTTTGGGACCTTTCCTGAAAAATTCAGTTAGCTTGGCCAACAGATTCAGCACATATTACAGGATATCACCTTCTCCCCCTTAATTTGTTCTTGTGTACATTACCTCAATTTGTTCATAGACATGAATAGGATCACTAATTCCTCTGTAGTTAAACGCAAAGTAGAAGTAGACACATGCACCTGCATCATAAGTCTGTGTCACCCTGTTGAAGAGAACTGCATTACAAACAAAGCTTCATGGTATTAAACCAGCCATTACGTGACATTACCCAATCTATAAGGTTACTTCTTTTATTTAAAAAGGTAGCATCTTTTTAGAATGGTTTTGTACCCTTTTGGCCTGTACTTCACAAGGAACTCAATGCCAAAACTCTTAGAGTTGAAGCACTTAAACTGTCACACTTGACTCTCGTGCATGTAAGCAAGAATGTCAAATCTAACCAAGTGCTACTAATCCTTTGAATTACCCACTCTCGCATGTGATCCACTTGCAGGTAAAAGAAATGTCAAGATTACTAGTGTTTGTAATATCAGTAATAGATGCACTCTACCCACTAGCTAGCAAGTTTAATGACCTCTTCCTTTGTTCTCTTACTAATCAAAGGTTCAAGACAAATTATTATTTAGGTTGCTGCACAGCTTACCTGCAGGTGGAAAGAGGAGCAAACTGAACACCCTTTTCTTTGCATTCTCTTACTATCCTTTCCTTGACATTCCTACAGAGGTCCAAAACCCTGCAAAAGAAAACATGTTAAAATATAAAAGCTTAGTACATGATTTTATACAATTTCCTAAAAAACACAACTTCAGCTTCAGTAATCTTTTTAAAAAGTATAATCCAATAAAACACAAGATTGCCCTCTAGAACCAGTTTTAACTAGCTTAGATTTTGCTCTAAGATTCCTCATCAAGACTTCACCAGCATTGCTTTTTCTATACTTCTCCTGAATATCAAGTTTACTGTCAAGCAGAGCACATAAGGAAAGTTCTTTTCTAAAACATAGGTTACCTACTTCTGTCTGTCTTTACTTGCTCAACAAAACAGCCTCAAATTTTTAGCAAAGTGGTTGACAAATACAGCTCACAGAAGAAAGCCTGAGAACTCTGAGGCCTTGTACAGTCTGCTAATACCGTACCTTTGGTATGTTACAAGGCCAAAACTGGAGATACTCCAGCTACGCGCTAGTTTGTCAGCTTGAAAAGTTATAGTTCTAACGAGCTATCAAACCATGTTATAAGCCATACTTGTTTCACTTTTTTTTTTTTCGGGTCTTCTAGGGCAGACGCAGGTGCATCCAAAGTGCTACAACAACTAAAAGAAGTCACTGCTTTTCAGATGACCGTTTCTTTGGTTATATGTTCTCCCACAGAGGTCTGCAGTGCTATACTATACAACTCAGACTAAGACATTTTTACACAGATTTGAAAATACTTCACAGATTGACAGAAGTCATACACAAGATAAAATGATCCATTTAGTGAATAAACAAGTAGAGCTAAGTAATTTATTCAAGTACCTTCAACCTGTCAGGAACATGGTAATCGATTTATGGAAAATTACATAGTTCTCATGAGTCAAAGCAGAAAAAGGTTTTGAAAGCATTTGCTTTGGTGAGGGCAATTTCAAATATTTTCTTAAATTCTTAGACAAAAATTAATTTTCTCCTGAAACAAGGGATAGGCAAAATAAACTGTTGACTACATAGTTAACATACTTCAAAAATCTATAAAGCTATTTTGCTTCAAAGTTGTCCTCAAATTTCTGCCAGCCATTTAAGACACTATGCTAATTTTCACAGCAGAGGCTGGAATTTACTACTGCCATTAAATTTAAGAGCAAGGATGCAGGTTTGCCCATGTAAGTCATCACCCTTTGTACACTTTCCACTTTGCATTAAATACTGTAAAGCTTTGATTCAAATCACCTTAGATCCTCCTTAAGAGGTTTCTGGCTTACCAAATGGACAGAAAGATCCAAAGCAATTTAATATATTAAACTCTGTTGTGGTCAAGTGTTTCTCAACCATAGCTAACAGGAAACATAAGCCTGGGGGGGGCAGGGAAAAAAAAAAATCTTAGTCTTGTGCTACAGTCATCTCCTCTGTTTTAATTTCCCTGCATTATGGGGAAAGAAGAAGACAAACATATTTTTCAATCTTCACTACAAACTTTCCCATTTGAGTTACACACATGGCAGCTCAACACACCACAGAGTTATTGTCACCATTGCCCAGCTTCATAAACTGGGCAGTTTCAAATCCTGGATTTGTAACAGTAAGCTAGCCTGAATAGAAATTTGACCGAATGCTTGCATACGTTGCATTTACAAAACGCTGGCATGTAATTTACCAGAACTTTAGCAAGAACACACAGGTGCAAGATTTGACGCACATCAGGGAGCCTCCAGTACACATAAGGCCTAAATTAAATTAAGTTTCCCCATGAGCAAGCACAAGTCAGGAATAACTTAAATTAATTCAAGTATGAGTTTTAAACAATTCTAAAGAATAATAACAGTTTACCTATCCCAAGGAACAGATGTCTCAAATGATTCTCCTATTACATAGTAATCCAGGCCCAAGTCCTAATAAAAAGAGAAAGGAAATTATCAGTAACCTTCAGCATCAACATCTGGGATCCCAGTGTATGCCACACAGCTAACGGCTCCGCAGCTTTCTGTTCCAGTGACATCAGTTCATAATTATGGAAAGAGAGTAGCTCTTCAAAGACACAGATGACAAACATTTTGACGCCGCGGCTATAGCTGTGACGACTTCTCAGACTGTCAGTACGCCTACACTAATCAAGTATTTCTACCACTAGAGCATCAAGCCAAGAGGTCCACTGCGCTAACCAATGTAAGACCTAGTAGAAATATTTATTTGGATTGTAATTCCTATCTCAGTAGAATAAAGACAAATCTGTTGCCCATTTTAAATATAGCCTGCTGAAACAAAGGGAAATTCAGTGATTTGTCACTGACTATAAAAGTCAAATAAAAATCTGGCACTCTGGATGTGCATACAATTCTGAAAAAATCACCAAACTCTCTCAAATAGTAAGACTAAAATTCATAAGAACAGTTGCACCACTTCAGACTAAAGGTTCATTTGTCCTGGAATTCTGATTCAAACCACAGCCACAAGCAGATGTCCAAAGAAAGTATGAGCCAAGTGAGCACATGAGTATTTCAAGTATTCTTCCAGCCACTAATTACATTCAACTTGTAGATTTCCAAGTCTGATCTGGTTTACTTAGCAAATGCTAGTTGATTTTTCAGTCTAATTTTCTCTATCCTTTATTAGAAATTATGTTATTAACAAACAGACAAATTAATGTTTTTATGGTGTTTTGCAGATCAAGCTTCATGAGTAAACAAGATAAAGCTTCATGAGTAAACACTATTCAGAAATGAAAGACAGACAATCTCTGTGAGTAGTTTTTGAGATACTGTCCAAGGCAATCTGCATTTAGATTTCAGAGAAAGCGTCTTCAGAAAGACATCTCATTTTTGTTGTATTAACAGAAGTTTCAGCATGCAGAAAAAAGATGACCTACCCGAAGATAAGCGATTACAAACGTCAGCATATACCCTCTCTGTCCATTATCTTCTCCTGCTGCCAAGCCACTGTAATTAAAAAGAGTTTAATTAACTTTCCAGCAAAGTAGTCACTGATTTCCAAGAAGAATTATCAAACATATGTGCAAGTTTAGCTGTCTTCAAGCTGTGTTACAATAGTTGCAAATTAAACAGAGTTTCTTCTTTACTAGAAATTAGAAAATACTTCACATCAGACCTTTAATTCTTTGCATTTCTCTTTTCATTCCATAATCTGAAGAGAGATGAAAAATAACAAAACACTTTATGTGATCTTCAAACATCAGTCTGCGAACGTTACAAGAGTAGGGCAAAAAAAAATAGGCCTAGTATAACCCTGATGTTATTTTACAGGAATACGTGTAACTACATTTCTAAGTGTGTTGGATTTGTGCACTTGTATGCTCACAGGTCACACGAGCAAGACTACTGACTTAATATCCCAAAGGTATAAACAATGTAAGTGAATAAAAAAGAAGCAGCACTAGAAAGGAAAAGGAAGCCTTGCTTTCACTAGTCTATCAAGGTCAGAACATTATGAAAGTCTGTTTTTTACTGTCAGTTTCGAGAACAAGAAAGTGCTATGTATTTGTCTCCCTAGAAGCTCCTATAAATCCAAGAAGCAGGGCAGGAAAAAATAGATCAGACATCCTGAGAAGGACAGAGTTAAAGCAGTTTAGACTATTAAACCATTAAATGGTTTAAACTCTTATCTAACAGCCCTGAGCAGCACAGATAGCACCAGCTTCTAACCAACCTAACCACAGACGAGTTTCCCCCCTTATCAGTAAGACATCTTAAAATTCTAAAATACAAAAGGATTCACAGTTGAAGTCTTTTCCTGCATACAATATTAACATAACTAAAATGCTCTTTAAGCTCAAGAGCAGTGTTACTCTTATCACTGAATGACAAAGTTGCTCATGCGAAATCCCACTTTTATAAGTTAAGTGCAATAAAAATACAAATTTCAGAAAGGATAGCCTTGAAATGGATAAAACAATACTTATGTACATTCAAATACTTGAGACTAATACTAACAATAACTTTCTTAAAAAGGAAAAAGTATGTTTTTGAGAAATCATACTTCTAACGATGGTTTTCAATCATGCTCGACCAAAGCAGGACAGAAACTACCTGATCATTACTCAGGCTGCCACTCCAATGAATGTTTTCTGTTCCTTTGTAAGAACAGAAAACAGTCCATGGGACAAAAATTCGCTGCATTCCTTTAAGTACAAACTCCTCCTGTATTCACATGTTCACACCAATGCTGCAAAGATTTAATATTACCCTTATAATTTTGTCTTCCCCTTTTGTAGTTCAGATATCCCATCTAATGCAAAACAGGCAGCTTCCACGCCTATAAGCAGTTACAAGGGCAAGTCACCATTTTAATAGCATCAATTCTGTATTTAGTTAAGTTGTTATTTTTCTGCTGTACAGGCAGCTGTCAAAGTTATCTAGTAAGATTTAGTTAGCACAAGCCATATTTATCAGAGGGAGCGTTCAGTAGCTAATTGATTATTGCCACTTCCAACTAGTAAACTGAGGATGTATCTGTACAGTAATCACTATAAAAATTGGTAATCCTATTTTGTCTTAGACAGTTAACCCTCAGCTACATATGAAAAAGTTCTTTGAAAAGCATACCCAAACTTGGTGGCAATATCATAGACTTGCTTTTCATGCTGAAGAACCTTTTCTCTATCACCCTCAAAGAGCAAGGTAGCCACACACAGTATGTTGGGATCAAATCCTTTAAACTGCAATGAGAGAAAATTTACATTATGTCATAGCCTATGTAGTAGAACAGAAGCAACAAGTTTTCACTTGGAACATACACAGCACGTGCTTTGGTTAGTAGGAGAAAATGAGGGGAAAGATTGGGCAATAAAAATCTTTCAACAATTTACTCCCAAAACAACCACCTTTTTACTTGACAGGACGAACATTCACAAGCTCACTGAAATAGAGATTGTCACCTTTTTATCCTGTTAAAAAGAAGGATACACAGAACAACTGTCTACCAGAAGCAAGAACAGGTCTTATGTGCTTCGAGCGATAGGGAGACATTCATATTCTATTAATTATTCCTGTGTTAAAACAGAAAGATGACTATGATGACCATCATTGCCCTCAAAATAATTGTATCAAGCAGTGTACCACAGAAAATCTTTATGCTGGAAAAAGCACTATGGAAGGAAAATAGCTTCTAAATTTGTGGCAGGCAGTATATCCCAGTGGAAATGAGGAGAAAACTATTAAAGGTTTAACAGTAATGCAGTGAGGCTGTCTGTACGGCTTTGTTTCAGGAGTAACAGTCGAGTCTTATCTTTGCAAATGGTCCAAAAAAGTAAGAACTCTACTTATTCTCTACACATCTTTTTAAATATTAATTAGCTCCAATAAACTACTAGTACTAAGCAGGCTTCAGATAGAATGGAAATTAATACAAAGTTACAATAAATTTCAATAACTTTTTCAGCAGTTAAAAAGGGTAAAAGCTTACAATTTAGAACAACATATTCTTAATATGATATAGACCAGAAATCACTTTTTTAAAGCCTTTCCCTTTCCAGTGGCATTCATCTCTTCCGCTCTACTGTTCATAACTTCTTACTTAAGCACCAAGCAAGGTTATAGGAAGTTACATCGATAGTCTAGAGATTCAAATTCATCCTTTATGCACAACAGTTATGCTGTGAAAAATCCCAGTGAGTTGTTATTCTTTTTATTAGTCCATTAACTGAACAGAACTGTACTGGAAGTTAACTGAAGGTACCAGGAAGGTCCAAAAAAACAACAAAAAAAAACAGAAACCAAACCAAACAACAAAAAAACCCAAACCAGGAAGGAGACAAATTATCTTGGGGTGGCTCAGTCCTCCAGCTAGTGAGCTCAAATTAGCATGGTGAGCCCCACAGAAAACCAGATTAGTATTTCTAAAATGGATATTGCATCCTACCACTCCCCCAAAAAATACCACCATGAAAACCACCGTGAATTAGAATATACCTCCCCAGGTAAAGGATCTGTCTTATCCATTAGTCCTACAAAAGCAGCGAAGTTAACATAAATAGAAAGAAATGTTACTACAGTGACAAAACTCCAAGAAAAGGAACGAAGGCCTATTAAGATGCTATTTGCTATTCTTGTTCTAGAACCATTAGTCTTTGATCCAGTATGAATCCTTTTGTCTATTCTGCCATCTTTTGGTTGTAATGCTCAGGTAACATCCTCTAGTTCTTTTTAAGAGACACTGGAGGAACAAGCTAGTGTGATCGAGAAGACAAACAATACCTAGAACATTAATCTACCAGTGACAGTGCCAAACTACACAGAGAAGTAAACCAGAAAGACCTTGTCCCTATTCCCTTGAGTGGTATCAGTTAAATGACTTTGTTCAGTAAAAGAAGTGTTAGTCTCATGTTCTGTTTTCTGGTATTTACTTTTTTTTTTTTTAAAAAAAAATAGAGAGCAATTCACAGATGATATGCAAGATGGATTTGCGTATCTTGGTCCCAATAACACCTGCAATACCAGTCTCGGTGCCATTAAACTCGCTCCTTTCTCTATTCCTACCTCCCATCCCAGCCAGGAGTTTCTCTGAAGCAGCAGTCGCTCACATGCACCAGGGGACTGAGCCCTGACATACGAGCTCCAGTTTGGTCACGAACCAGGAATCTCTGCATCAGCATTATATAGCATTTCTCTCATTTCTCCACATGTTCTTTGTCTCCTGCAGAGCTGGCAAATTTGGATTTGGCACACAACACCCCTTGGTGATTACAACATCTCAAGAAGCAGTGATGCTTGTTGCCAACTACAGAAGCAGCGTATCACCGACTAAGATTGTTTCAAACTGACAGCAATCTTGTAATCAAATCCTTTACTACTTCAGATATCACTGCACTACAGCAATCAGGGAGGTAAGGCAAGATTTTGGGATCTAATAGGGATTCCCTAACAAAAGAAGTCCCAAGACACAGGGCACTTTTTACTGCAGGAGCAGAAGAAAAAGCAGCAGAATCAACACTAGCCACCGTTTCTCAAATAAGACCACTTCCTGAAGAACTCAACAGTACCAAATCAGAACAGAATGTTTACCTCCTCCTATCTAACAATTATCTCAGTTCCAGACAATGCAATTCTCTATATTTGAACATACGTATTTGCAGGAACTCTCTAGCTGGCTAATTCGGAGGAAAAGAAAAACAGTAACAAGACAAATTATTTAATACAAAAGCCTAGGTGAATTCATTTTAGCACCAGATAATTCTGGATTTAAATGGGTATTCATTGGGATGAATTCCAGAAAAACAACAAAAAAACCCCAGTTTTGATAGGCAATTCAGTACAAATATCTCAAGGTTCTCCCAGAGTTCTAGTTCACCTTAAAAACAACAAGGTAGACCATGCCTTGACAAAATCCAGAAAGATGAAAAGACAGTAAATTGTTAGCCTTACTCCATTAATATTAACTGATGATCTCTATGCTAGGTAACCTGGTTGCAGCCTTGCTCTGTCACTGACTTGCTGTTAGACACGGCACATTAATCTCACCTACAGATATGAAGTGAGAAGAGCTCTCATGGAATACTCCTGGAATAGATAATCCCATTTTGGATTAAAACACCTTGAGAATCTCAGGTTAACTAGTATCACAACACAGGATCTGTTACACTCAAACTGAGCTGCATTAGACACAGCATACCAAAAAATTCTGAATTTTATTAATAGCATGCAAAGTTCCAAACAGTATTAAATCCCAAAAGTTACCTTTGTGATGTAGAATTTTTTCAGTCCATCCAAAAATGATGTAAAAATGGAAGCAACTTGTGGTTTAAGAGCATGACCTTTGGCAAAAAGTGGAAAAAGGTGTGTTAAACAAAACATACCTACTTCAAATACCTACTCAAAATACCTACTTCAACAGGCAAATAAAAAATAGCTTCGTAGTCAAAGTTGCAAGAATTGCTTGGAGCACTTTGATTATCATGATTAAAGAGACTTCGCTACTAATTTAGAGGATGATTTAGGAAAAGTTTTTTATTAATTTTTTAAGACATACATAAAAACTGTGCACAAATATTTTATCTGACACTTTAATTAAGGCTGCCCTAGTTTAGATCTTCACAAGTATATGACATGGAAAATTTTAAAAGAGCACTTCATTAGTTTTCACACTACAAAACTAAGCAAAATCAGTGACTTCTTTTTAAAGTTATGCCAAAACCACTGAAACCAATAGTCAAAAATGGTGCAAGTTGGGAGTTAAGCAATTTTTTCCTTAACGGTTATGTCACTTCTGCAAAATTTTCTACATAAAGCTTCCTTAATCACACACAGGGAACTAAAACTGCCACAGTATATAAATGGTGTCTTGGAGACTGTTAAATTAACATCTCTGCCTCAGGACCAGGTTTCATTGAGATGAAAGTCTTTTACTGTTTGTTCCATTGTTTTCAGTCACAAGTAACTTCTGAACTCCCATCACTGCTTCACTTCAGCAGTCTTGCATCTGGCCTACACACTGAGAGCCCAATTCATAAAGAAGTTATGCACCATTTACACGATGCCTCCTTCTAAAATACTTCATAAAGTATTTCCTCCTCAATAAAGCCTGAACTTCAGCAACGGATTACTCTCCTTACCTCTTCAGTAAAGAGGGACTCTCCCTGCAGATACGAACAAATACCAAGGAGCACACCTCCAAGCACACTAACATAAGCACACAAAAGTGCACCAGATGAAAGGACATGAATTTATTAAACCCCAATCTGTAAAAACTATTGGATTTAAGCATACTCAATAATAACTACAAGAAAAATCTATATTGACACACCTAAAACTATGTTTTGCAGGTGACCATGTAAGCTGCAACTTCAGATCAAAGCTAAAAAGTGGAATTATTTATTCAGTGTTGGGTTTAAAGCATGTAATTGGTCAAACAACTTCTCAACTAAAAAGAAAGTAAAACGCACCTGCCCCCTGTAGTACATGTCCAAGAGAAACAATATAAAACAAAAGAGTGAGTAAAGCAAGCGGCAAGCTTTGCTGGGCTCTCAGGTCTTACAAATCCTGGTATCTTTGGTTTGAAAAACAAAGTTCAACTTTCTCAATGCCATCATATTAATGCCATCTGAAGTCAAGACTCATCACTGAAGCTTCTGTCCAAAAGAAGTTTCAGAAATTCTGACTTGTTCATGTCGTATTAAAATACAGGGTTTCGAGGTCAGTCACACTTCACATTTTCATCTCCTGGGTATCATCAAAACATCACGGGCGCAGCACGCCTTACGGTAGTGGAACTTTAGGTTCTCCGAGAGCATTGAGCCAGAAGAGATCTTTTGCCAGATTTCCTACAGCTTAAAATTACAGCTTTCCCCAAGAATCACTCAAAAACGATTGCTCTGCATGTCTGACAGTGTCTTATTTAGGTATCTGAACTAGTTGAAATTTCACAAAATATTTGTATTCAATAATCTTCTGACTTCAATGACTTTCTACACTTAAATCCCACAGCTTAGTTCTATCTGCATTCAGTTGTGGTATTCATTACATCTGAGCTTCTTTAAAAAAAGAGACAGCTCACTTTAGATGGGAGAGAAGCAATGACAACACTTGTCCAAACAATCACTACCACAGCAGAATATTTTCAAAAAACCCTGTTACTTCCAAAGAATCTGTATACCACTTGTGATGCTTTTAGGAAATTTAAAGGAATCAAAAAACTTACCTTCAAACAAAGGTGTCTGCTTTCTGATTTTCTTTTATACTCAACCTTTCATTAGTACTCTTGGCATAAAAATATTTCAAGTACTATACTGCGAAACTATCACCTCTGCTGTTTTGCAGCAAAACAGAACAAGGGGCTCCAGAATTTCAAACTCTCCAGTAGCTCATACACCAAGAATAGAAAGATAGCAAAACCACTCGTATTTAAATGCAGAGCATGGCTCTTTACTGACTGTTGTATTTGATACTATTTCCCCAGAGACAAAACCAGGCTTCTGTTTCTGAAAGTACACGTTATGACACTATTTGGAGTTTGAACTTTGGGTTCATTACCTTCCTCATCTAGTTTTGAGCAAAAGAATTACCATCTAAAACTGACTTAAGCTGAAAATCAAAACCCTTGGAAACAGATGTTTGTCCAAGAAGATCTACATACTTACCAAACTGAAACTGTGCATTGTCAACAAGGCGAATTGATGCAGGAGCACACCTCTTGGAGCAAAATTAGGGGAATGAGAGGAAGAATAAAAAGGTTATGTACACAGTTTAGCTGAAATTCACAGCAATCAAATTTTCAAGTAAAAATAGCAAATAAGAAAGCACACAGTGATACCTATAGCCATCATCATCATTCAAAAGGGATGACTATAAGTTTTTTTACACTTAAGAAGTACCACTTGTTAGGTAGGCCTAGATATAACCAGCAAATTTTCAGTTTAACCTTAAGCCAACACAGCAATAGTCCAAAGATCTTTGACCTTCAAGTATAAAGTGGTTTTGTAAATTGCTATGTGCACAGAAGATACCATACTTGATTAGAATATTGAGTTTATGTTGCTATGTAATGAAAGATACATGTACATTACAAAATCATTGTAAAATTCTAATTGTTGTGGGTTAACCCTGGCAGGCAGCTAAGCACTACACAGCTGTTCACTCCCCCTCAGTGGGACGGAGGAGAAAAACAGAAAGGCAAAAGTGGAAAAGGTCATGGGTCAAGACAAAGACAACTTGATAAGCAAAATGGGGGAGATTAAAAAAAAACAACACCAGGAAGTGATGCAAAAAGCAATCAGTTACCACCAGCTGACAAATATCTAGTCAGTCCTCAAGCATAGACAGCCCCTGGAAAACTCCCCCCGCCCCCCGGGTTATTTCTACCCATGATGTTATGCAGTATGGAATATCTCTTTGGTCAGTTTGGGTCAGCTGTTCCAGCTGCTTCCTTCCAGCCTCTTGTCCACTCCCAACCTACTTGCAGGTGGAAGGAAAGCAGGAAAAGGAGAAACCCTTGGCACTGCATATACACAGTCTAGCAATAGCTAAAGCACTGGTACGTTACCATTGATTTGGTCACAAGTACAAAACGTAGCACCGCACATGCTGCTACAAAGAAAATGAACTCCATCCCAGCCAGACGCAGCACGCTAATGCTCTGCCATCAGACAGCAACTAAAAACTGTAGCTGGGTCCAACCTAGATTCTGAACTGAATGGAAATCCGAAAACTAGTAAGAACAGCCGCCTTCAGTAAGGCAAGCTGCTGGTCATACACATGCCTACATTGTGTAAACTGTGACAGCCATGTCCAGTCATACTGAACTGCAAAGCCAGAGGAATAAGACAAAGCCTGAGTTTTAGACTCATCTTCATCTGATCACACAGATGTGGAAGTACTCCTCTATCACTTGATTTGACACGTTCACCTCTACCATATCATTAACATATATTTGGTCACACAACAGGAAGAAAGAACATGAAGAACTAAGATAGCTCACCAGGCAGGTTAATAGAAGGCAGCTGGATGAGTGGTTTTAAACCAAAACCAACACATCCACAACCTGCAGGTTAGTTTTTCGTACATTAAAATAGACTAATATAGACAAGGAACAGCTTTTCAGATAGCAGTTATTGTAATTACCACCAAGATGGATTCGAGGGGCAACAGGAGAGAGAAATAAGTAGTTCAAGCTCAAGTAAGAAGTGAAACAGCAGCAGTAGAAGTGGCGTAACATTGAGTGGCTAATAGTGTATTTTTTTCCTCTTCTAACTAAGCCCATAGCTAGGGAAAATACAACGGATCCTTAATTGACTTAAAATTTCGATCAGCCATATGATTAAGCATTCCCAAAGAGTCTGCTTAGGTACCTTTAACAGGAAGAACAAGCACTAGCAGTAGAAGCATGACAGAACTCGCAAGTGCTGCTGTCTAGCATATACATGTCATTCACATACCAGTTTGAACATCTGGCTTGGAACATTAAGTCATTAATTTAGACCAATCACTGGAAAAAATGTAAAGTCGTGTTTAGTTTGGCATTAACCCAAACATACCTGAAATTATGTCCTCAATTCGGGGTATATTCCATCATTCACAGAAATTACTGGATATGTTTTGCACAGACCAAAGAGAACAAAGAGGCTAGCTGGTGTAAGGTTTGCTTGGAAGCATGGCATTGACGAAAAGCATTACCCAGTTTGGATACCCATGGCTGAGTTTTTCTAAAACCATCTGACCACATTATTCAGAAGGCTCGATTTAAATACTACAGTATAAGCACAAATCCACCTCAAAATATCCAGCTCACTTGAAAATGTTACTGTGCTTCAGGAATTGTTTTCTAAACACAGGCCATACCTTTCCATTGCACGAGTTTTATTCCTTTGTCGCTTCAGAGCCATAATTCAACTGCCTTTTACTTGTATGCTGCAACTTAATTCCTTTAAGTACTGGTCCCTTTACACAGTCCCAAACTAACCTGAGAATAAAGCTCTCCATTGAAGGAGATGCAAAGCCAAATTTTCTGTGCTGAGATATGTAAATATCTTCCACTGGAAAAAAAAAAACCATGAAACTGCACATCCACAATTTGGCTAAGAATATCAAGCAAATACAAAACATGCTCAACCCTCAACTGCATCATTTCTAAAAGTCTTGTGGACCACACACTCTTACAAAGCTCATATTGTCTCAAATCCTTGGTTATCAATTGCCAGAAATACTAAAGCACCAGCACATCTGCGCTCTTCAGTGAAGTCAACATCCAGCTTTTCTTTACCTGCTTTGCCACCTCCCTTAAGCAGGCCACCCCTCGTTCAAAGTTGGGGAAAACCACAGAGCCATACTTCTGGTATTCAGGGACTGGGCGAATCTTTATTGTAACTTCAGTAACCACTCCCAGAGTTCCTTCAGGAAAAAAAAACAAACCAAAACTGAGTAAAGTGTTGCAAGATGTACTTCTTGCAAGTTACCCAACTTCAACATTGTTTAACAGGATGTTGTAAGCTAATGTAACTCAGACATCCCCAAAACCCAGTATTGCAGTAGTAGACGGATTTTTCTCCTCAACTACATGGTGAACTCTTACATGATATCTTCTAAACTATGACATTTGTTACCAGACTTGCAGGGTAACTCCAAAGAACTGTTTTAAGCATTGTTCAGCGTTGCTCAACCTCACAGCCCTAATTAAGGTCTCAATGTATTAACCTAACACAAGACATTTACGCCTGCACAACGCCACCCACAGACACACTGGAAGCCACAGCATTAACGATATTCAAATCATCAAGGCATTACAGCAGCTGAATGAAGATGCAGTTACATGAAATTACTGTGTTTATACCTTCAGATCCCATAATGAAGTGATGGATGTCAGGTCCTGTTGACATGCGAGGTACTTGACAGTTTTTTTCTACTACTCCTCTAGGAGTTACCATTTTTATGTGGATCACCTGTTTAAACAATATGCAGTGACTATAAATACCAGCATTAAGCACAGATTTCTTTTTTTTTATTATAATCATTTTCTCAAAAATATATATTAAGCTTGATACAGCTCAGCTTTGTGGACTTTAGACATTCTGTCAGCAGTCCCAAGAACTTTTAGAACGACCTGAAGACTGTTACCAACAATTACTTCAAACACAGCATGGTTTGCCCACACAAGGGATTGTTTCCAGCTCCATGCCAATTCAAATGAGGTGCTGGCTACACACAGACACCAGTTAAAACTGGTTTGTTTCTCAGTGCAGACGGTACCTTCATGAATACTACGATTTTAATCCAGAATATATGCACTACTTCAGAGGAAAAAATGAGGGTTTAGATTTTGCTTATATTTTGTTTTAAAAGTGCTACTTGATGAAGTTAATATACTTCAGTCATCAGTTGCTACAGGAGTATTTCTATTAGGAGGAAAGACAGAAGTAAGCTTTGTGAAATAGGTTATCGATATTAAACCTGCCACACGACTGACACGTATATAAGTCTAGGAGGTGTTTTTTAAAACATTTTTCAACGTTATTGCTTCCAGCTTCATTCATACACATGCAATATAGAGTCCAGATGGTTTTTTTAATCCCTTATGCAATTATGTTTTATCAAGGTTTGGGGTTTTTTTTTAGTGATGACTAAGTGAAGCAAAATTACTGAATTTCAACTAACAGCTTTAAAACTTTCAAGCACATGTAGCTACGCAATTTTCATCCTGCTTTAAGTTGTTCAAGAATTTCATTATATGCATTTTACTAACTGTTGATTCTGCAGCAAGTGGATTTCAGGCAGCTGATATAACACACCATTTCTACAATAAAGTTTCCTCAGAAGGTGAATGCTTCCCTTAAACTGTCTCACTATATCGTTGTGAAACTCACCAACTGTTCTGGATCAATTTTCAATCCCATTTCCTCCTAATGAAAATTTCAGAAGCTGTTCTAGCCTCAAGTCATGATTCCACAATAGATAAGCCTTCTGCTTCACATCTCCCAGTACAAAAAGAGCTTGTGCAGCTTTGCTACACCGTTCAGCAACATGTCAAGCAGCAGGGGACAGATGACACTTTTAAGTGCTGGCACTTTTAGTTCAGCCAAGCCTACTGAATAAAAACTGTGTAGTTCCTGCCAAGCTCACTCACTGACAGTAACATGTCATGTCTGTGCACAGTACAAACGTGTCTGAACTTTGAGCTGATGAAAAAGCCTGAGGCGATGGGGATATGTGACCTAGAGTGTGCTGCAAGAAAAAAGCAAAAAGCCCACGTGTGGAAGGGCTACTGTACAAACTATGAGAGAAAGCTGGAAATCTGAAGCAAAAAGACAGGCAAAGCCTGAACAGTGATGATTTAACTTCAGTATATCCAATATACTTGTTATAACTGAAATAGCAGATTTTTTTAAAGCATACTTTTTGATTTTAAAAGACAAATTGCCTGGTTTAACATAAATATGATGCATTTTAATGCTTAAAACAGATCAAAAAAGTAGAATATTGCCATTCCCAGCCCAAGGCTTCCTTCCTCAGGGTTCCTAGACCATGTGGTGGCATTAGACTTCACCATTGTGCATCCACATGGCCAATTAGATCAGTCTACTGGTTTTAAAAAACTTCTAATCTAGGGGGAGGTAGGAAAATGGAAACAGCTAGCTTGCTGTCAGAGTCAGAAGATCCAGCTAGACAACTTCAAGAACACACAACAGGTAGGAGAGAACATGGGTCTTCTGGAATCACCCCAAAAGTTCAACAGGATTATTATACTGGATTAATAGAGGGCACAAAACAGTGGAAGAATCATAGAATCATAGACTGGCCTAGGCTGGAAGGGACCTTAGAGATCATCTAGTCCAACCTCCCTGTCATGGGCAGGGACGCCTCTCAACTAGATCAGGCTACTCAAGGCTCCATCCAAGTTGGCCTTGAACAAGGCACCAGAGACAGGACAGGGTAAGAATTTCCTCCTAAAAAACTAGCCAGAGAGTACCAAAATTAAAGTGATTCTTAGATCAGTGATAAAGATTATTAGTACTAATACTAAAAGCAAGCAAACAAGCTTTTCAGTCAGGATTTGATACTAAAACTGTATCACTTGTTGAGAACCACAACTTACTATCCCTTTTCCCTCTCATTGTGAGTGACTATAAAAGTTAAACCTCCAAATAAAATAATTAATTAGAAAAAGTATTTACCAGATCTTCAATGTTTCCATAGATGTTTTTTTTCATGCCTGATGCTCGTGTTGCTACCCATCCTCCTAGTGAACTGAACTCCATGGAATCTGGTTCATGGCCTGTACAGAAGCCACTTTCAGCAAGCTAAAGAAAGGAAAAAAAATACATTGCCCAGAGCCTGCCTTTGCTTAGTACTCTAAATACCAGTATACTACTTTTCTTTTTTTTTTTTTTTAAACCACAGTAAATATCCTGAACACACACCCATTTATTCAGGCGCACACATTTTATCTTTGATATGGAAATGAAAAACAAATTATTTTTGTTTCTACTGTGCATGTGCTGTGCTACACATCAACCTGTAATACTCCTACCCCATATTTTAAAACTAAGACCTTTATTGTTCACAAGAAGGTGTGAATTCAAATACACATAGAAAAAAAATTATAACAAAGTAACTGCCAACTTTGCACAAATGTGCCAATAAATAAGGCACATAATCTCTTGTTCCTTCTGTCCTAATGTGATATGCAGCAGTTCTGCAGAAAATGTGAGCAAATTGCCTGTACTTAATTCTCTCAAGGAGCAATGTGTTTTAATATAGAGCCATCTGGTTGGGCTTCCTGTATGCAACGCTGTCAACTGTTTGTGATGCAGATCATGCATTCCTGTACATTAAATAGTCACTTGTTTCTCATTTTTCTGTATTAGCTTGGCTTTGCCATCTGCACAGCACCTGAGGTTGATTGGGTGCCCTCAGAATCACAACACCAAAGCTGTCAGACAGGAAGAATTAAAGACCCAACAGTATCACAGTAAGTGATAACTGTGTTAGTGCATTTGAGATGATCGATTTGCACTGCCCAGCTGAAAACAATCCAGTTGGACACCGGTATTTAAGTACACCACATAATGTGGATCATTAACTATGTTCTGCTGTACAAAGTGGTTCTAACTTACATGATTAAAAGTCACTTCAGTGCAATGCTTATGGCGATTCATCTAGCCCATGGTCTCCTCTCTCATGCCAGAGGAGTTTGTGGCTTTATATGCTTACTGCTTGTATGTTAGGGAAGGGATGGAGCTTGAACGCTCCTCGTTCCCAAACATCACAAGAAATTTGCTCCGGTCACACTTACCAACTTCTCTCAGGCTTTTGAATGCTTGTAACTGACTGTGCATCTACAGAACACTTGGTCCGAACTCCTTGCATCTGTTGAATGATCAGCATGTGCTGCGAGCACTTAAAGGACACGGGATAGATTATGCTGTACTTTGCAGATGGCAGAGACAGCCTCAGGCAGAAAATACGAGCCATGTAGTAGCTTCTTCTACAGAATCATGGCCTCACTGATAACACTTACTACAAAAAACAGCATCAAATATTGTTCTGTCTTCATGATCCTTTTGTCATCTTTAGCCCTCAACTACCAGCGATTATTCCTTATTCTGTTCTGACAAAAATAAGTAACCTGAGGCTTCTCTATAGAGTCCACTAATACCTAGAGTTCCCAGCCCACAGAGAATAGTGTCTTAATCACACTAGAGTCATCATCTAATACAGCAAATGTGTTAAGTGTACACTGATTTTGAATGCTCCATTATAACACTTACAGTCTAACTTTTGTCACGTACCAGGCTTTCCAAGTCTGTAATGTGCTTAGAATGTGGCTCTGGATTTTAGTTACTGTTACAAGGTTTGTGCTATTTGTGAGACAGCCTACTAAGTAACTTTAGCACCCCAAAAATTAGGAACACACTAAGAGGCACTAAATTTTTTCACTGTAACATAATTCCTAAACAATGATGGTGAAGTCTCTTAAGGCAAAAGAAGTTGGATTAGCCTCCAATCCAAAGTTTACTTAATACTAGCAAGCTGCAAACCAAACAAAAAAATACCCCTTTAGAACTTTCCTCTTTGTCCAAATGTCTATCTGCAGTCTACCTATATTTCAGTGGAAGTTTGCATTAGCATTAACTATATTATTAAGTCATAAATTATGCTCAGATTGTACTACATAAAACAAGTACAACTTGGAGTCCTAGTCTGAATCACATCCCATTTGCTAATAATACTGAATTCCAGTATATGCAATTAAGTTTTTTTTTAAATATATATACACACACGTTTAAAGTAAATGATCTGACTTTGTATTCTTTGCACATTGAAGGCATTCCCCACATGAAGTCCTCACATGCCAAGTCATTCTATATATTAGAATCTTTGTACAAATGCTAGTCTATATTTAATATTAAACAAATTGACAAATAGTACTCTTTTCATAATCAAAAGTCTGACTGAAAATGTTTTTTGATCAAAAATATTAAAAAAACCCTGCATCAGTAGTATTTCAGCTCAAAAGAGCTATAAGCAGCAAAAGAATATTGGCCCTTGCTCCAACTGAAAAAGCAGGGACATTTAAAATATAGACACTAGTGAAATATCAAACTACTACCCTAAAAAGTGTAATTTAAATACAGAAAATATTCTCTTTGCATTTTAATTCCAAGCTGAAATAAAGCTTAAAATATTATATCAAATGACAAAAGGGAAAAAAAGAGGCAAGAAAGGTTGTCATTCTCATTATAAACAGCTCTGTTAATCAAGCATGACAAGTTTTCTTTGAAAAAGTGATCTGGTAAAAAAAAAAACCAACACGTTTACAAACCTTCAAATCTCTGCATATGTGTAAAGTGCATTTAGGCACTAAAAAAAAAAAATGTTTAGACAACACTTAGCTGTTAAACAAGCCATGTCCTAGAATTTATTTTTTTTTAACAAGCAGAACTGCACATCCTGAAGAAGAGTAAGGAACAGCCTCAACGTGCATGCCTGTAGAGGAGCACCGAGAGACCCTGAGAAGGCTGCTGTGGCTCATCTGATAAACTGCAGTTAAAAGCCACTAGAGGTCACTTAGAAACGGTGACTTAATCTTCCACTTGCTTTTGGCAACTCTCCCTTCCTGCTACTTTCCTGTAGCTGGCCTTAAGAATCAGCAACAGCAGATCACATCACAAAGTGACAAATTTGAACTTTTAACGTTAATTGGTACCAAGTATCTAAAGTCTGAAACAGAAAGCACAACATTACATCCTATGAACTGTCACCTCATTAGGGTAATTGCATTTTGTGGCTAGAGCTAAAAAGACAAAATTTTAAGTGTTTATCAGTACAGCATATAATGCCTACCACACCAGTCTGCATGAAAACACAGAAGAATTAAGACAGAATTCAATGACTTAGACGACACATAAAAAAGAGCAAAGGAAAAAAAAAAAAAAAAGGAAAAATATTAGATGCTTGACAAGTTAAAATACCTGTTTTTCCAGATCCTGTCCAACAATGCCGGCTTCCACACAAGCTGTTAAGTTTTTCTCATCTATCCAAAGAATCCGATTCTGTTGAAAAGCCAAACAAAATCAAGAAACTTTAACACCAGTTCTTAGTTATTTCCCTCCCTAATGCTACAGGATCAACATGCTTGGTCTTAGAGCTTCCTATTAATCCAGTGGTGGAGGCTGAGCCCCCTCACTCCCTCGAACAGCTACACAACAGGTTACAATTTATGAAGTCTCTACTAAGAGTAACATATTTATTAGACAATTTAAAGTCAAAATGTTTACAGAAACAATGCAGAAAAGCAAAAAATAATTAAGTTAAAACCCTTGCAGAAGGTAAAGCAATACAGTGATTTACATAATTAATGACTGAAGGTGCCTGAATCTAACTATCTGGGCATTAAGTACACACCAAGAAGAGTACTCTTAAGCATACTCCTTGCAGTAAGACTGCATTCCATTATTCCAGTTCAGCTCTTGAATTTGACACAGTAAGCTAGAAGCAAGATATACTATAGGATGTCAGAGTATGTACATACTTTAGAAATTTAAGACACTTCTAAGGATTACATCATTTTATCTAATGAGACACTCATTATCTCATCAGTATATTCTGCTAAAAAAGTAGAAGTGGTAACTGCTACAAGTTAGACGGTGCTCTAAGCATGATTGACAATGATGACAATCCACATTAAGAAGAAACTTAAATAAATTTTTAGCTTTGTTTATTATATGACACCACAAAAGCTTCAACCCTCACTCTTCATTCTTATTAAGTACTCTTCTGGTATACTTATATACACTATTAATACACAAAATTATAGAGGAGAACAACTCTAACTTCCCACTGCCTTGATTTTTCAAATGACAAATATTGTGTAGTCCAACTTAAACTACGTGGTAAAGCAATTGTTTCCCCTCACAACAACCGGGCTAACTATTTATTCAGAGCCAGCTATTTCAGGTCCTTTCAGATACCTGCAGTTTCAACATAAACCGCTTAACTGATCTAAGATGCTTATGTAAATCAGTTTTTATGAAATATAGACCTTACACGTAAAATGAAGATACCAATTAAATGTCTATTAAAATAGTAAAGCTTAGCCAATTATCTTAACTGCTCTGAAATATCAGGGTTTCAACTTTGACAATGCTTAATTTCCTTATTTTCCCCCTCTCATTAATGGTTACAATTGGCTGGCAGAGTCACTCAAGACACAAAGAGGTCTATTTGTCTATGCTTGTATGTTTAACTGACACAAAAGCGTGATAGTAAGAGTTGACCACATTCCTCTCCCACTCCCAAACCACACAGAAGTCACAGCTGTGGGCTATGAATCAATGAGGTCACATGAAGGCCTAAGTCAGTGTTGTACTCTTTGGATTTCACCCTGATATACACCTGAAGAGCTTCCTTCAATATGCAACTACCACCCGTGCAGAAAAGATCACTTGGTAGCCACACACGCTGCGAAACAAGCAGCTGAACTGAAACACCACAGACTGAGCAGAGAAAATGGAGCCAAAACTCAGGCCTTGCCTTCAAGGCTAAAGAAGTTAATAAGCTCAGCAGGTGCTCAGAGTCAGCAGAGCTTTATATCAAACACACAGAGCTGTTTCTGAAGCATCTAATTACCATGCAGTCACGAAACTATAATTTTAAAAGTATAAAGCTCCTTTGTAATGGAAAGATGAAAACTAGCACTAAATTTTTCAGAACTTCATTTCTAAACCGCCATAAAGCTATGAACTTCACATTCTAAAGGTGCCATCCACACCAAAATGTAGTGTGGGTGGCTTATTTTTTTCCTTTTAAGTTGATCCTTCAAGTTGATTTATAGATATTAGATCATCTTACCAACCTTTCCTTTAAATATTTTTAAGTGTCTGCAAAATCCAGCGTAAGTTGCGATGACAAATAACTCCCTCTTAGCCTTTCATTTAATCCCAGATACAAGTCCCAATATAGAAGAGTAGAAGCGTCCTCTGATTTTCACTTAAAGCTGTTATGAGAATGCTTAACAGTGATTTATTTTTTTATTATTAAACAGAGGTCAAAGTGCAGGGCTAACATCAGAAAAGTATCACTTCAGCTGAAGGAGTACCAATTTAATCATGAATGGTATAGAAAAATACTTCCATCCCTACTTTTTTCTTGCAGAGAAAGAAACTTTACTCTTGCAAAGAAAGAAACAGCGATCACCATTCAAAATAACAACGATATAATTTAAAAATATAAAGAAAGAAATGGAGACACATACCATTTGTGATGTATCCAGTGAGACAATTGTTCTTTTTTCTTCTTCAGGACATTCAAGGGCACTAGACACACTTGTCCCTCCTGCAAATACAGGAGTGACATTGTGATTATAAAATTCTCAGGTAGCTTTTCTTCACATACTATCTCCCTTCTCCCCTTCTGATATTGAACTAAAAAGATCACTAAGTTAACTGTTTGAGGCCACTGATTAGACTTTTAAAGATGTCCCCTGTCCCAAACTGGGCTTCACAAAATCAAGGTGACAATGCTTGACAAACCATGAAATTCTGTGATTATCTCAGCTGCTTCTGTTAACTCCAGAATAGAGTTTTAAAACCCGGAAGCATACAAAATAACAAAGCCATCCAAGATATGGAGATAGCTCTGGTTTTTACACATTCTTTTGAGATCACTGTGGAAGCTATTACACTTCTACCTTGCAGGCTGGCTTAAGAGGTCTACCTAACACAGGAATGCAATACTTACCTGAAAGCAAAAAGAAACTGAAAGGGTGTAACTATTTCCAAATAGCTACAATATGGGTAAAGCCAAACGCCAAACTTTTCTGAAGGTTTCTAATGTATTTTTATAGGACATCACACAACAGCCTCCAAGAAGCCTTTGGCTTCTCAGACTACAAAAACCACAGGAAGAGAGAGACTAGAGTGCCAGAGATCCACAGCAAGTACAGGGACAGTGCCTATTAGTTAGACAAGCTCCAAGAGCAGCAAAGCCCGTCATCTTCATTTCCAGTGACAGAAAAGGTGGCATCTTCCTTAAAAACCAACTCCTATAGTAATAACTCAAGTTGACTGTAGTTCAGTATAAACAGACTTGGAAAACAATCTGAAGATCTTTTTTTAACCTGGTCAGCGAATAAGAGTCAGCTAATACTGCTGCTTTCAGCTGTACCACTCTACGGGCACCAAAGGTGACTTGTGGCAGTCTTACAGCTCTCCAGATGTATCAGGCAAGGGTGAATGAGTTTTACAGAGAAACCAGCTCCATTAGTTTGGTATTCTCTTCAAGTGAAACACTCATCTTCTCAAGTAGTAAATGTCCTTCCTACTCTTACAGCATAGGCAAGTACCAAGTAAAATACACAAATTTATCCTACAGAATTAAGGAGTTCTTGACAAAAAGCTTCTCACAGAAGGAGCTCATGAAAGCCAGCATCCCATGTTCCCTGAGCTCAAGGTCAAAACAAGGTAAGTAACCCCTCCATTTCAGCAGGCTTAGAGGAAAAAGCATCCACAACTAAATACCTGAAGTCCTTTAGAAATTCTTTAGGTTGAGAAGGACAGAGATTATACAGGCCTTTACCTGTACTGTGCACCTGGAACATTTCCTGAAAACCCCTTGCCAAAGGAGTCTCTACTTTAACTTTTAAACCGAATAATGTCTACAAGGAAATTAGAATTATGATTAACAATTTTGCTTTACACTGTCTGACCACAGTCCTCCCTGGACCTATGAGCTTCAACAGTAAAACAAACCAAACAAATAAAAAATAAAAAAGAATTTACACACATTTGTGGGAACCGAGCACAAGTAATGCATCCAAAGCACAGTAACTCTAACACAGATAATTGAATCTCTTGACTTATTTCCTAGAAGACTTCCAAGGCACAGAGGTAGATTTCAGTTACATATAATCAGAGAATCACAGAATGTCAGGGGTTGGAAGGGACCTCAAAAGATCATCTAGTCCAGCCCCCCTGCCAGAGCAGGATCACCTACAGTAGGTCACACAAGAATGCGTCCAGGCGGGTTTTGAATGCCTCCAGAGAAGGAGACTCCACAACCTCCCTGGGCAGCCTGTGCCAGGGCTCTGTCACTCTCACAGCGAAAAGGTTTTTCCTAATATTTTTGTGGAACATCTCTCCTCTTGCACACTGAATATTCACGGTGTTCACATACTTTTAATGACTTTCACTAAACTGAACATCAGCTTTTAATACTGCAAGATCATAAAAAAGAATTAACACCACACTTAAAATACTACTAAAAAATTTTCTAACTACTGCATTATTGGTACAATACATCACTAAGAATACATATTTAAATTGAATTCAAGTAGAATACATTTTCCTCCGTAACATTAGAGATTTAAGATTTCGTAACACTTACCACCAAATGGTATTATGCAGAGATTGTGTTTGCAGGCTAATTCCACAATTTTAACTACGTCTTCATGGCAAACTAGAAAAGTCCAAACAGTTAAAAACCAAGATCTGTGCTTAGTACCAAATACTGCAGTCTGAATAATCATCAGCTCCTTTTCTAACACCAGCAAGGAAGACACTTCAAGGAGTTAGGCACTAAAGAGCTAGGCTCTGAAGTATCAGAGTTCCAGATCCAAAACAATTCTACATTTGAAGAACTAACTACAGCCTTAGTCTCCTGCTCCACTCATGGACTGAAACTAAATTCTCAGGGCAAGATGGGCTACTACGAAGCAGTTAACAATTAATCTAGGTAACGTGGAGAACAAATCAAGTTTAAAGCTTTTCTTGAAAATAGTCTGTCTAATTTATTTTAAGTGAGAAGTAAAGTTCTGATAGGAATCACAGGTGTTAAGACTTTTTTTTTTAAAGTACAGTATGTCATAAAACAGAAGTTCTTTAATACAAACATTTCACTACTCTTCTACCAACATGTAACTCCTTCACAAAACCAAGATTTGAACTGCCATTTAGACAACTATTCTTGGCGAACATAAAAGTTCAAATTAGACTGTGATTACTTAAGTCATTATTTGAGCGGTCAACAGAACCTTCAGCTATATTTAGTAATAAATCTGACTTCCCCATCAAATGATGGGATTCCACAGGCACAACTTGCAATCTAGATGTTAAACAATCATGATTATCATTCATAAGGAAATTCCTTCAGTTTCTGTAAAGATGAGTGAAGTCAGTGAAGCAAGAGACATCTTCCCCATGACAAGAAAGCACAGGAGTTGAGCAGACAATGGCCTCCCAGATCATAAGGGAGAAGACAATTAAAGCTTACCAGGCCATACAACTATATCAGGAATTCGCTTAAACATTCCTTCCCTGAGTACAAATATCTCATGTAGGCAGTGACCTGAAAAACAAACAATAAGTTAACAAGTTCAAACAAGGAAGCATCAAAAGCAGCACAGTTACATGAATTAACTTCTCTTACCATGAGCTCTGAATACTCTATCTTCTGCATCCTGCGAATATGAGATTTTAGTGGCTCTAAGATCATGAAGAAATTCTTCATTTACAATGGATGGAGGTACATCATTAACATTTAAGGATGCCTATAACACAAGAAAATAAGTTCATTAAAAGTACGTTCACTCTTAGAGCATTTCTGTATAACAGAAACAATAAAAACAGGTGAACATTAACTGATACCCAAGCACAACTATCCACGACCAGAAATACAGAAGTTCTCCTCAGCTTCAGTCACTGACCCCATCTGTCCTACCTGGCACTCAGCTGACTAGATGCACAGGGCAAGCTTTAGTTCAGTAGCACATTCTTATTTTTCTTTTTTTTTTCCTCCTGATAAACTTGGAGAAATGCACTAGTTTATGAGCACATACTGAACAAAATAACACTTTTAAGACTTCCGTAGATCCAAGAATACCAGTTGCCTGAACTAGAGACTCTCCTGCTGATAAAGGAGAGAGATTAAAAGTCAAAACTCCTTTTTGACTATAAATTCCTCTTCCACTACAGAGAAATACACACTAAAGCCACTTCCCACTCTGCAAATTTTTCTACTTACAGTTCTGCTTCTACCAATACACTCCCCCTCCTCCTGTCATGTACTGGATACCAAAGCCTAATCAGAAGTCCAAAGCAAGGCAAAAAACTAAATTTGACTTACATAATTGGCATAATTTAAGTAGACCTCACACATCAGAAAGACTTTATAAAAATCCATGTTCAGTCAGGAACATGCAGGCGTTTCCAGAAACCTTCTTGTTAGAAGTGCTGGTCAACACCTTGCAAAAATGTTTGTTGAGTTTTTTTTTAAAGGAGGTACACTGGGCATTTTCGCTTACCAGTCTTGAATCAAGGTTCTGTAAGTCCAGAGGGAGAAGCCCTGCTTAAGGTTTTCTACCAATCCATTCTTCCAGGTTCTTACAACAGATGTCTTAAATAGTATTCTTATGGCTTCTCAAACTGCAGACCTAGCCATTTGAGTCTCTTTTCTGAAGTCTACTAAATATAGTTCTTGTGTCAACCTTTTAAACACACTTAAGAGAATGAGGATTCTTTATAGGATCCAGTTCCAGAAAGGTAAGACTTTAGTAGACACTAAGTGTAATGCTTCTAAATGCTTTGAGTGTTCCAAAAGAACAGTTTGATTTTTTTTTCCCTCCTTAAAGAGCAGCCAACAAATTCATTTATACTTTTCTATGGGTAATCTCCCTAAAGCAACAGGTCTTTTATAAACAGCCTCTAATTAAGGAATTCCTTACTTAGGTATAAAGCTTGTCCTATAACCAAAAGCTTCTTGACTTCAACTCCTATGTCAAAAGAAAATGTTGGTCAAGAATCTCATTTCTAGTTGAAGTCGTTCCTCAAGTTTGAGAGCAGGAAAACTGAAAATTATTCACTACCATATCTCTCTTATTTTAAATGCATTCTTAAAAAAAATTAAGAGTTGTACAAAAATTAGTTAAAACATAGTGCAATTCTTTCAAACTTTTGTCATGAAAACTTTGCTGGCACATTAGTTAGCATCGCCTTCAACTCAAATAGAAGAACATGATTGCAATTTTGTTATAAAGCTATCAGGAAAGACTACAGTCTGCCTAATAGCACTACAGAGAGCTTGCTTACAGACCTACCATCAAAAAGCATTTTCTACAAAATGTTCCATGTAGTCAACATGATATTTCTTTGACAAGTCTAGCCTACACTTCTGGACAAGTACAAAGAGAAAACAGGAAAATGAAATTCACTTTCTTTTTTACCTTTTGAAGTTCCAGCTTTCTACAAAAGAAGCATTCATCCATCCAAGTTTTCTTTCCTCAGAGTTTTGCCTATCTTTGCTCTCCATAACCTTCAGAACAGCTGATACTTTTTGCCAATAAATGTCTTAAAATAAAAGATCAAATGATAGCACAAGCCACTAAGCTACCAGCAAGGAAAATAGAGATTAGTCTCCCATCTGCCACCACGACAGCACTCTATTCTGAACGGGTAGAGTCTCAACGTCATGAGAGTTGAAGGAGGGAAGATTTGAACATCAACAGCAAAGTTTCCAGATAGTTCAAAGATGCATGGTGATGGAACTTGCCTACCAGTATTCACCACAGAAAAAAACTATGTAAAGCTATGCAGAAATTAAGGGTGAAAGCAGGATCTGCATGACCCATCTTTATGACAATAGCTAATAACAACGAAGTTCAAAAGGACAGTCAAACATTTGTTTTAGTTCTCTTATGGGACACATGACCTAATGAAAATATAATTCTAACAATGATGTGACTTGTAGAAGAGGATATATGCTGTTCTGACTGCTATCCTTAGGATAATATTATACTTCTTGAAACAACGTGTCAGGCATCTGAAGGGAAAAAAACACCACACACCACTTTTCCCTCCAACATATTCACTCTGTCATCAACAAATACAAGTTGTTTTTAACGGTTATTCAGGTGAGAGGTGCACCACTAATGAGAGATTGTGATTTTAGGTATCAGTTACAATAAGCACAGAGGAAGTCAGCTCTTGGATTGCTGCTCTTAGCTCTTACTGTTCTGTAATTAATGCACATGCACAGAGATGTTTTGAAAATGTAGAGCTCTGACAAACTTGGGAAACATGAGAAACAAATGGGTACCAAATAAAGACCTTTAAGTCACTTTTTAAAAATACAAAAAAAAAACCCAAAACAACAAAAAGCCCCATCAACAAAAATGCTTAGGTTTTTGTATTTTAAACTTTGTTTTCTTCACAAATTTCCTGACATAACTATTTCATATTATTTCAGGTTGAACAAAAAGTGCTTGAAGATCTTTGTTCTCTGTAAGAAGGACAAAAACTCCTTAAAGCTGTAGCAATTCCTTGCAGATGGTTTTAAGTATCTTGATTTTTATCTCTCTTCCACGAGTATTTTAATCCTTTAGTTTTCACCTTCATGATTCAAAGTTAATATTAATCTATAAAAATTTTACACACCTTTATTCTTCTGGGACTGAAATATTTTAAGATTTATTTATTTATTTTAAGATTTATTCAGTCTAGCACTAGGCTAGACTGAAAGCCTACATGAACTAGGTCTAAACTGTTGTCTGGGGTTAAGCCTAGTCTGAAAAAGGAAAACATGTCATCAGGCCTTGAGCATCACAGAAGCAGGTACACTTACTGTTGTTAATTATAACAGAAAAGTTGGATGCAGCACAGAATCCTCCAGTCTCATACAACAGAGGTAGGAAGATAAAACAGATAATTGGACCGGGAAATCCCTCTTCTACCACTATTCCTATGCCTGTTTCTTTATGCTGTCATGACAATCGAAGGTGAAAAACCAACATAGCAATACAGTCTGAAACATAAACTAGGAATTATGACAGAGGCATGAAAATGAGGGACCTGCAGCAGTAGCTGAGAATAGCTATGAAAAGTCTAGAGACTTACTGTAGACTCCAGAGAGCCCTATTCTGTGTCAAGGCAGTCAGCTTGCTTCGGATCCCAACCAGAATAGCAGAATCAGACTGGCATAACATAACAAGAAAGCATTCAACATTGCTGGCAGATATCCTGAGAAGCTCATTTGCAAGACACGCTGCAGAATCAAGATACTATTCAAGAATCTGCCCCTGTTCTCTAACTGTACCTCATTCTCGATTCCCTCTACATGTACAAAGGGAAGAACAGCTCTCAGGACCTCTGCTCATAGCAAGTTAAAGCAACTGCCAATTAAGACCAATCTAGTCAAGGAAAATGCTCACATCAAGATGATTTTTTTCAAAATATATTGGCAAATAGAGATCCTACAAGTCACAGCAGATGAAAGAATATCTTGATTAACAGAAGACTGAAAAACACAATGACATTTTTGGGCCCTGGGAGATTACATGCTTCAGAGAAAATGCAATCTTGAACTCACTTGAGAAGTAGGTAAAACAGGGTTGCTACAGTCACTGTACAAGCTTAAGCAGCTATCTAGTCAGGAACACGTGGCCTCAAAGGAATTCTTCTTTGAAGGGAGTCAGGTCTCCTAACATGAGTTATTCTTTTTTTAAAAAGCAAAATATAGATGCTTCACAAAAGTCAGAACATTCGAAACATGTTTTCCTGAAAACATCCAACACAACCTTTGAATATTCTGGTAGACAGTTTTTAGCATCCAGTTTTTATCCAAGAATTTACTGTCAAATATGAACTTTGATATAATTAAACATATTGCAAACAGCACAATTTAACTGCTCTGTATCTCCTGTCTTTGTTATCATCAACCACACTGAGGTTGCATAAACAATCCCTCCTCGGCTAACAGTTTCTACAATCTTGAAAAACAAGCTACAAACAAGGACAAAAAAAATCTCCCTGGGTCAAAAACTTTCATTGCAATGAAAGCACTACCAGTTAATCTGGAACCACGAGTCACACCAAGTCACCTGAAGTTTCATGCAGTTTTGCATCAAATACTTTTTTCAAAAATAAGGTATTAATACACTATATTTAAATCAATTATGCACAATATGACCTTCAAGACAACAGCTGAAACATCTTTAACAGTGTGGTCTTGATTATCATCAAGAATAATGTTCAAAGGAACTGTTTTCAGCTATTTACTTACTCTAGAGGTAGTTTTGTGCTCCAGACTTGCTCCAAAGGTTTTTTCTATCCATTCCTTAAAAGTTGGTAATACCATACCACCTAATCTGTACCTGAAAAGTTAATATTACACAGGGTCATTTTAAATTAAAAGAATGTATGTCAGATACACTTCTTTTGATTCTGCATACATAGAAAAGTTTTAATTTTTATCTGCGAGCCTGCAAAGCTTCTGCACATTTAGTTTTCATGCAATTGGACATTTCATTGTATTTGTTTTATACTTCACACAAATCAAATTATCTCAGGCACTACTTTTCCTCAAGATCTTTAGGAATTGTGGCACAAGACTTTTCAGATATCCCCCCCAATCAAGATCTCTCCCTTTCAGTGGTGTAGAAAGCAGTGTCACAGTTTACATGCCAGTTACAGTTACAGGACGTGTGCAATATAAACAGCAGTCTGAGACACACAAACCCAGCCCAGTACTCCTCACATGTTCTCAAGAAAAACAGTGTTAAAGGTTCCTCCCTCATCATCAGAATGCATGAGAATCCACCAAGCAACATGAAATTATTTCTATCACAAATTCTTTGGCAAAAACTTAGGCATGTGACAAATGACGACTTGAGAAGGGACAACGAAGCTGCCTGTGACCACATGTGAAACAGGTAGAAATTAATGCTACTAATTGTGTATATACACACACCATTTGCATGTTCATATATGCACAAGCATTCTCTGAGTAGAAGAGGAAAAAGCAACCTGTCTTTGGTATTAAGAGCCTTCAACCTCTGAGAATCCCTACTGCAGTTTGCACTTGGGTCACTGCATTAGGCCTAATGGGTCATCTTTCTAATATTATTCAATCACTGTTAATCCAGTTATGACACTGTCCTTCACAGCTATTACAACCTACTCCAAAACTAAGTCATCTATTCCACAAAAAGATCAATTCCTTTTGTTTCCTTATCTCAACTATCTCTTAGTTCTCCTATTGCAAAGAAAACTCCCAAAAACAACAAAGCAACCCTACTCTATTCCTAGGGATAAGAGGCTACAACCGTATCTCAACTCAAGCTACAGTCTTCAGCTCAGAAGACAGCACTCAGTCATTCCTCTTGTGGCAGCTGTTAATTATCATACCTATATGAAAACAAGAAAGCACAATAAGCAATGAAAGTTTAGTGCATTTGCATCAGGAGCTTGCAACAAAGGCAAGACACTCAAGTCAACTTGGTGTGTTTTCTTCTCCAGACATGCTTTGTGGCAGCGCCAATCTAGTACTATAGCTAGCTTGCAAGGGAAACCTTAATCGCTTATTCAAAGGACAAACTAAAGCTATCAAAAAAACAACAACTTTTAAGTCAAGACACAGACAGAAACCACAGCATAGAGGGAATTAGCGAGTTTACTGCACACAATGCGACACATGGTCAGTCAGGAAACAAGCTTTATGTGTGTTGATGGTGCAAGAAGCCCCTCAACAGACCTCCTTCCCCTCACTCCCCAGAAAAGGGTTTAGTTGCTCACACTACCCAGTATTATCTATCCCTGGTGAGATGGTAGAGTCTGTAATAGAAACACCATTTGACACATGGAAAAGCATAGTCTGTTAGGAAAGTCAACATGGCTTTGGTAAAGGGAAATCCTGTTCCACTAACTCTTTGGAGTTCTACCAAGGGGTAAAACCAGAAGATTAATTAAGGGGATACAGTGAACATGAAGTTTCATGCTGCTTTATACTTCCAAAGCTGTTCACCTCAAAGGCTATATAAGAAAATACACTGCTACAGTACTGAAGAAAAGGTTCTTCTATGGGCTGAAGTATAAGGTTCAGATAAGAAGCAAAGGGCAAGGTTTATTGATCACTGTCCCTGACAGACTCAGGAGTGCAGCTTGCCACACACTGGTACTGGTACTGGGACCAGTTTTACATAATGTCTTCATCAGTGATCTGGATTCATCAGTGGACTCTCCAACTAAGTGAATAATATTAAGCTCTTTTGGGGAGACAGATACTACACCGATAGGAACTCAGAACCTTAAAAAAAGCAGCAGACAAGTGAAATGGAAGAAAAGATGCAATTAAATGCAAAAGCGAAAAACACCACAATTTGCTTGCATATTTTGCAGAATCAGACTGGTTTTCAGTATAGGAAAAATCACAGCCTCTTCAGTGACAACATACAACAGCAGTTAACAGTGTTACACATTAACCAGGCAGGTATAAGAAAGTTTATTTCTTTTTACTGCTCTGTAAAATCCCAGTCTATCCACACCGTGGGTGCTGCACACAGTTTTTGTCCCTGTATCTCCAAAAAGACGTAGTGGAGAAACTGCAAAGATCAAAGGGCCTTACAAGCATAGTCCAAAGGGCCAAGGATTCCTCAGAACAGAGGGAAAGTGGACGAGAGGAAACAATTGAGTCTTACGTAATCAATAAAGCAATACATCAGCTGAAGAACTATCATCCACCTAATCCCGCAACACAGTAAGGGATACTTGGTTTAAAACACAACATCAACCCGGAACTTGCTGCCGCAGGATGCTGCTGAGGCAGACAGTATCAGCAGACTTGAAAGCTCTTACACAAATACATGGACCACAGATCTCTAAGGGGACACTGAAAGGACGAGGCATCTACAACATTTCTGAAGATGCCTATTCTGTTTTCACTTCAAACAGTCTCCTTGTGCCACTGTGACAAACTATTCCACAGAATCCATGCTAGCGTGGCCCAACAGGGCATTTCTAACCTATCAGAGAGAAAGAATGCAGATTGGGGGAAAAAATGTCATTCTCCCCCCATTCTAGAACAGCCACTGATATTCATCAGTCAGGGAGCAGTCTTGATGCTTCCTCCTGAAAAAAATCCAGCTCCAGTCCATTGCATAGGTTTTCTAAGCAACATAACCTATCCCAGATAAACTAAAAATATCAGATGAGAAAAGGAGTGACAAAGTGACACAAGTCAGAAACTTGGGAAGAGGAGAGAGATCACCAAGGTGTCCCTAAATATTATGCAGTGAACTCAAGTGCCTAAGACAAGTCTTTGCATTTTAATCTGGGCCTGAAAATTAAGGAATTAAGTACTGAAGCGCTCAACATACCAGTTAGGTTTTTGCATCTTTGACTCAAACTAGCTCGTGCTAGTTTACATAAACTCAGAAGTTTAGAAAGGACTTTTTCCTGAAGGACAGTACTTGTTTCAAGCTTATTTCTCTTTCCCATTCTTTTTCTTTACTCTTACAAAAAATAAATTTTTAAATCATGGAAGAGAATGCAAAACTGCTTTCCACTGAGGCAGAAAAAACAACAGTAGTAGGTGAAGCGACAGGCTTAAATCCCACTGAAAGAAAGTCAAGAGTTCCCCAAGCAGACTTAATTTTAATGTAATTTCTTCAAAAAATCTCTCTCTCAGAAAAACAAACTTGCTGTATACAGGGCTAGTAAGCAATAAATCAGAAGTGTTGCCACTACAGAACACACAACTGAAGTAGTTTTTATTTTTAAGCTCAGAAGATAAGGAAGCTCCATACACAAAGGTTGAGAAACCTAAAACACAAATTCAAAGTTCAGTAAAGCAACTGGTTGATGCTTGAGATTTTCAAAACTGCACGTTATCTGAAGTTTTAGAACATCGTGCAGTTTCTCAATCTGATTCCCTTCTCCAAGAGAATGTTTAATGCACAGAGTATATTGTTACAGAGAAGACTCACATTAATTTGTCTTTATAACACTTTTAGTAAAGCTTCCAGCAATCCATACAGTCTATTTTGCTACATGTTAGACTACAATGTATAGAATTCAGTAGACATATTAAATACACAAACAACTAATAACCTATTCTATGAGATAAAGCAAGTTTTTCAGCTTCTTTGGATTAATTTACCAGTGCAGTTTTTAAACTTTTTTTTAAAAAAAATAATACTAAGACATGTCAGTTATAAAATTTTTCAGTCTACCTTTTTCCTGTGAATTCTGCTTGACCTTTCTTATTGAAGATGAATTTGGAGTCATTATATCCCCATCCATTCCACTTCAGAAGTTCTTGCCTTAGAGGAAGAAAAATCATTAAGTGAGAATGTTAGCATATTGTAAGTCAAAATGATTTGCAGTTACAAAGCTTTGGAAAAATGCCTTATCAGATAGCAATTCAAGGAACGAAGTACATATCAATAATGCAGAGCTTAAGAGTTAAAAGTAATTCTGCAGCCACAACCACTACTCCTTCAGATTGTATCCTAAGACTTGAAAGACAAGATGCTTTATAAAAACAACCACTGGCTTAAGTCAATGTACACTGCTTGGCAACATTCTCAAATTGGCAGAAGTAATGTTTGGAAGATGCTTGTTTTAAAAACTATACATAAATACTAACACACAAATAGACAATAGCTACATATTTTCAAAATGAAAATATATATAGCATTATTATTATTCTATCAAGAAAGTAATTCTAAATTTTAGTTGTTTGACATCACTACTGTAATTTCACTTCATTCTTATTAACATTCACTTGATGAGGCACTCTACAACACATTTAGACTGAAAATATATTTTGAAAAGTTAAAAAAAAAAAACCAACACAAAATCAAACCCCAAGAACTGCAGGAGTAACATACCAAATACAACCTGAAAGTGTCACCATAAAGGGAATTAAAAAAATCCAAAACTCAAAACTGCCAAAAATACAACTACAAAATTGAAATACCTTATGCAAAACAATGCCATAGAGGATCTCTTAATTATTATAAAGTCATCAGAAATATATAAATGTAAACATAAACTAAATTACTCTAAGTTTTAAATAAGAAGTTTGCCATTTATTTACATTACAAATGAAGTAGCAATCTAAAAACTGAAATTTAGTTAATAAAAAAGCATCTTAAAGAAGTCTGAAGACAGACAATTTACCTCACTCTGCTACATATATGTGAATGTAGTTTCTACTCTTTGACTGTATAGTATAAGAGTAAGATGATGATGGGCTACCATTTCAAAAAGACCTCACGATTCTGCAAAAGCACTGCCTTAAGATAGCTGTAACTCCATACAAGATAACCCGGTGATGACTGATTACCAAAGGCCTTTGTTATAAAGATAATGTTAATACAGGCTGCTGACATACTGTCAGTGTTGTAATTAAACAGACTTGGCTTAATGAAAATTCATTTTCCTCAAACTGCCTGTACACTAGGTTTTCATTATTCAAACAGAAGAAAAAAAAGCCATAGACATATATTTCATTCTAACTGTCTGAATCAGACTTTTCAACAAGTCTTTGACAAATCCAGCACTTCAGCAAACTTTATAGAGCAGTTTCAGTAATAAGTAACTGACTGAGTTTTGTGAAATAGCCAGTCTATGCTGTTCTTCCACACTAAGGAATTGATTCTAAAATTTCAGCCAAAATTCAACCGTTTGAGCAGTTGTCAAGATACAGAAGTCCCTCTGTTTGGGTGCCTCTTCTCTAGACAGATGTAATCCTTACCCATATAGAGTTTACTCAGAAAAGCGCAGGGATGCACTCGTGTTTGACAGCACGGGAATGCCTTGTGCTATCACGCTGACATAACAGATTATGGAAACTGTTCTTAACGCCTGTTATGCCATCTGGCCTATTTTTAGACATACGTCCAATATAGGAATATACTATATATGTCTCTTCATAAATATTGAATATATTTATGATAAATTCCACAAAGTCATACACGGCTGAGTTGTTCCCAGATCAGAATAAATTGACACAGAATTGGCAAACTCAAGTGGCATTTATTTCCTTAAACTAAACGTTCCCCTCAAATCGCCATCGTTGCAGTCCTCAAGGCAAGATTTCTCCGTCTGCTGACTAAATGAGGTATTCCTAGATACCTGCTCTCAATAGTTTGCCAAACTCTGTAAAGTCAGAACAGACTTGATATTAATAAGCAAAATTTGAGGAAAGCTCAAGTAGATTTTTTTTTTTCCTAAATACCTGCTTTTCTAGGTTGGTGTTCAACTACCTGGTGCTTTCCTCAGGTTTTAAAATACAGAACAAGAGTTAAAACTTTTAACTTCTAACAGTTAATTTTTAGGTTGAAGTACTCCTGAATAAAATAAGCAAACAAAGGTTTACTGTGCCAGACAACATCGCTGTTATTGCTGTGATGAGAATAAATTAAAATGTAACATAACAGTTGGATGTTTGTGGAAGGAAGCTGTTCTAAAACTTCTCAGCTACCTCCTACACAAAGGCAGATCTCCCCCCTGCCCCCTAACAGGCAGTATTACACCTTGTGCCAGGTAAATATCACAACAAGACATCAAGCATTTAATTTTTATATTCAAAACTATATGGAGCACGTCTAAGGTTTCTGTCTGAAGACAAGAAGGGTTATTTTTGTAGTGTCATCTTACATTTATTTTTTTCATTTGCTTCACTACAGCAGAGTATTGCCGTTTTAAGAACTGTTGTTGGGTTTACTTCTTGTAGTTCCTAGCACTTCATACTTACACACTAAGAACATGGTAAAGGAAATACTGCATGTGGCTGCCTAAACAAAAAGAAAAAAAATATTTTAAAAGAAAGACTAATTAGTCAGCTCTGATTTGCAATTGACTCAGCCTGCAGGAAGACCAAGCTGTTGAGATCTCCTCACATACCATTTGAAAGATAAGCTCTTCATGAACCAGAGCTGGTGAACCTCACAACCCAAGAGAATTATCTTCAGCACAAACAAAAGCAGGAGACATTCAGAGGAGATCTGCAAAACTCCTTGACTACTGAGGCAAAGTCAATGTCATATAATTCAAAGACTGCAGCAGAACTTTCTGGAAGTGTTACCTATTAGCCGGCATATTATTCAGAAGAGGTGCAAGCAGCTCTGCAATAGAGAGGCCAGGGCAGTATGTTGTTCTTCCCCAAAATCTATGTTAAATTCATATTCCAGGATAGTATAAGCAGCAGAAAGAACTGGTGAGCATGTGAAGATCTAAACATTAAAAGCCCCCTCTGTGTACGAGTACTCAGTGTATCCAATCCTGGCTTCAAGACCAAGAGACCCAAACTACACATTGATCTGCAACTAATATGTACCACCATTATTATATGTAGACTTCTACAAATTATGTATTCTCTAATACTTCAATATTTTCTATATATTTTGTATTCTGAAACAAAATTTTCCTTGCAAAAATAGTTTCTATCCCCATTCTTCAAAAATTCAAGAATTTAATTGCTAAATAGTAAAACAACAGCCACAAAAAGCCCTGGATAACCAGATATTGTACAGGGTATCTCAGAATACACTAAAAAGTTTCATGTCCCAGCCTGAAGAGAGATGCTCAGTTTGGCTTAGTGAACCAACATGTTAAAGCTATACACAGTCCATGTCTAACAAGATAATCTATACATCCTTCTATTTTTCTTCACAGCTCCTTTTGCTATACATATTTTTGGAAAGATACTCATCAACATTTAGTATTATTCTTGCTTTTAATTCAATGTTACTCAGCTCTATATTGTACCTGAACTGTCTCACTTAAAGACAACACCTTTTCTGTTCAGTACATGGACCAAGTTCCCCAACTCTACTTTCATCTTGAACAGAAATACAGAATTTTATCCAGTAGGAAACGACCCGTTCTTTCTTGCCTTCTAACTTAAAAGTCAGTTATTCACTATGGAAATGTATGAAACACTACAAAGTAAAGCCTGCTTAACTTTTTGCAGTGTATATTTTTATTTTATATACACATGGGTGTATATGTACATATATTGCCTGAAGGGAAAAAACCTGGAAGAAAAGTTACCGTGGAAACAGTGACAACAGGAGAGAAAAACAATGCGACCAGGTTAAGTGAATTTAAATATTTCCGTTTGATTACAATGCCCAACACAGAAATACTAGTTTGACTTGATGCAATATGGATTTTTAGAGCAAAATATTTGGTCAATAAGACAAGTGTTTTCTGCATATTTCTGGAAAACTGGCTATGGAATTATCAAGGAAACACTGAGCAAGATGCTGCTTAGGTCACAGCACAAGGCACTATACTAAGCCCCCAAACTGCTTTTGTGGAGCCTACAAACTGGGCAGAAGCTCCCAAGGTGGCAGCGTGCCCAGTCTGGGGCGCAAGAGAGGGGCTAAAACAAAACCTGCGTTCATATTTTACAGTTTATATCTACGGTGAGCAGCAAATGCAGACACAAGATTTTAGGCATAAGACTTCAAGTGTTTAGATACTTCAAAAGCACAGTGCGCGTTTTCAGTTTACTTTTAAACAACTGTTCTAATAAACGCTAACTCCCCTTACACATGTTCCTAGCCCCAGCAAACCCCCATGCAGTAGTGAAATTGGTGGTACTCTAATGTTCACTCATAGAAAGCCGAAGTCAGTTAAGGTAAATTAAAGGTTTGGGAGAGGCAAGACATTCTAACCACGCTTCGCCAACCGATGACTCTTATGCAACCGAATACTTCACTAGAAGCTCTCTCTGTTCCACCTACCACTTCAGTTGACACCGGTTTCATTTTTATCTTTGAAGAGACTGCTTTACTACAAAAATGCATGCACATGGCTACTTCCAGTAAGTGAGCAAGCCCTTAAATATTTTTCAAACACTAGAGATCAGTCTGCTGGGAAATATTTTTTGAAAGCTTGCAAAACCACGAAATCTGCTTCACTCTCTTAAACAAACAAACCGAAAAAAAAGAGGCAATCACGAGTTAATGAAAGAATTGATTGTCTGCCATTTATTTGCTCAAGTTCCCAGATAACACTATTTCACCTATTGCATAGAGAATTTTTAGCATGCTCTGTAGCACAGATAACTGCTGAATAAAATTTTGGCCTGTATCATCAACCCTGAACACTTGCACACAGCAGCCCAATTTTGGATACAAAACTACAGAAGCATTATGCTTGTTCATCACATTCAGCCTACAATTGATTTTTTTAACACTTCACCTTATTTGTTCTTTATTAAGAGGTAGAGTAACATTTCAGGAAAGTCTAGCTAGCTGCAAGCTGTTATTCGACTACAGATGTCCTTACTTTACTCCAGCTC